AAACAAAAATAAGTTTTTTATCATAAGTTTAAGACACTCTGTAGAGTGGTTAAACCGTATATTGTTCTAAATTAATTATCAAGTCTCATCTATTCTTTACAGTTTTATTTTTGGTTCACCTGGATATATTTATTTTTGTGGAAAATATAGAATTTTTTAAAAAACATTGCAATTTCTAATATTTTTTCTGTATGAAGAACCAAGACAGTTTTGTTGAATCGTCCCACACTTGGACATGTCATATACGGCTTTTAAATGCTATCAAATTGTTTTTTGCAAATTAATGTTTTACTTTTGAGGTGTCTTCTTACTTTTAAAAATGGATACATATGTCTCCGACTGATGTTGCCAGAGCCATTGATTTAATTCAGGATGAACGGTCACAGTATTACGTGGCAAGTGTTTTAAACGTCACAAAAAGTAAAGTACAAAGGGCAACATCAGTCGGAGACATATTCATTTTTAAAAGTAAGAAGACACCTCAAAATTAACACAATAACATTGAGTAAAGAACACACTTTACTCAATGACAATAATTTACAAAAACAATTTGATAGCTTTTGAAAGCCGTATATGACATGTCCATGTATGGGATGATTCAACAAAACTGTCACTGTCATCCTCCAATGTTTTTTTTAAATCCACATTTTCCACAAAAATAAATATATCAAGGTGAACCAAAAACAAAACTGTTAAAAATAGATGTGACTTGATAATTAAAACTTAATTTAGAACAATATACGGTTTTGCCACTCTACCGAGTGTCTTAAACTTATGGTAAAAAAGAAATTTTTGTTTAAACCTGTATATTATAAACGTATGTCTATTTTTCAGTAATGTTTAAAATGTGAGCGATTCTCCATTAATGTATCTACAATATTCTTTAATATTTGTTTAAATCCGAAATCATATAAAAAAGTTATTTGCGATTGAAATTCATCGAAAATTTGTGTGATTATTTTGCCTGTGAGTGTAGTTAAATGGTCACGAACGTAGGATAGGTCAAACTTAATTAAGACACATGAGCTAAGACTGTAGTAAAACGTATTTAATTATTTTATTTTTAAAGGCGATTAAAAAAAACATACAAAAATACATTTTCTTTGAAGTAAATAAGAGTGAGTAAACAAAAACATCTAAATTAGAATATTTGTTTAACTAAATATTAAAGTGTCCGTACTAAATGTATTAATATTAAAAAGGTTATTAATAGTATTGTGCGACTAGTGGGAGAAAGAGGAGATTCCTCTAGCGTGAAATTGTAACACGCGAGTGGAATCTCCTCTTTTGACCAAGTCACACACAATATTTTATTCAACTACCGCAAGGAATTTAAAGCCCATTTATTTGATATTTTGTGATAGTTATATGACAACCGTTTTGACTTGACTTTAGCCCGTGACTATGTGATACGTTTTTGTAAATAATGCAATTAATATTAAAATATTAATTGTTTGTATTTTTACATTAATTTAATTCAAGAATGTCACGCAGAGTTTCACTTTTTTCACAATAATCCACGTGCAATGTTATACAATCCCAGAATTTATAATGTGTAAAGCTAAATCACAAGTCATGTGTTTGAATGATAAAATACAAAATTAACCACCAAATAAATAAATTTAACAGACATTATAATGTAGTTCAAAAAGTATTGAAAACAATTTATTTGTTTACAATTAGCATTTGCAATCTTATCTTTGTAGGTATGTTTTGAAATGTTTTTTATTTTGTGTCTAATTAAGTTTAAAAACAATTACAATAATAATAATAATAACATATGTTAAAAGTGTATAAAAAACAAAATGTATTTTAAAATTTTCTAAAAAATGTAATTTACAATTTCTACTAAAACTTAAAATTAAAAAAATCGTTAATATGTGACCTACTTAACACAATCTTTGGCAATTGGATTTTCCTAGGGAACCACATTAAAATATATGTATTTATTTAAATGTGGTTCCCTAGGAACTTAATTAATGTATATATTATCTTGAATAAATTTATTCAATTTAATTTAAAACATAATAATAATATTAATATTCGCTTAGCAAGAAAAGGACAGACTATTCTACATCTCCAAGAATACATTATGTCCACAGATGGGTTTTTTTCTACTACCTTACTAGAAAACTTAATTTTCCACCCCCGAGCGAGGGTAGCCACTTTCCTCCCTCTTTTTTTTTAACAATTTTACATTATCAAGAGTTTTTGTACCTTGTCCAGTCCTATTTGATTTTGTAGGAAAAAGATTTACTCCGCGCTTGTACAACCATTCTTTTAACAAACTATAGGTATTCATTTTCATATTGCTCTTTCGATTTTTAAGGAAGGAAATTAATTGCAACTATTCTTGCCTGTTTAGCAAGATCTTGGGGCAGGTCTTCTTCGCTAGAACTCATTTTCAAAACGTAGGAAGAATTTCAAATAAATTTATGATAAACATTCTGACAGCTTATAAAACTGTTATGTTGTTATTACCAAAAATACCCTAGCAACAAAGCGTTGTCAACATAACGTCGGCGATGCAACACCTACTTAATATTTTGTCATAATTTTATAGCCCTATACTGGGTTAGTAAAAGGAACCGGAACGCTTAAAACTGTTAAAAGGTAATAGAAAAAACTATATACATACCTCAGGAGGAAAATGCGTTTCCTCCCTTGAATATTTAATGCCCTTCACTTCGCATCGGGCATCAAACTATTCGCGGGAGGAAAAGCACTATTTTCCTCCCATGGTATGTAAATAGCTATTACATTTTTTAGAAAATTTAATTCTTGATAAAAGGTTTTTGATTGATTTTAAACCCTCTGAATAGGCGACACATCATTTTTGTGGACTAGGTTTAATTTTTTTTATTTCTCTTTAATCTTATGATTGTATAAAATTACTAGCGGGCCTGATAGACGTTGTCCTGCCCGAACGTTGACTAGAACTCGATTGCAGTGCCACCTACCGGGTCCAATTGTGACTCTAAGCCATCCAGGGAACCACTCAAACACACACAAAAATATTTCATCAAAATTGGTCAATCCGTTTAGGAGGAGTGACATTCATAGTGCACACATACAGAAAAATTATATATATTATACATATACAATGTATATTATACATATATAAAGATATTATATCTTATAATAGCTTTAATAGCCAGGACTTGTTTGTTTATTGTTGAGTATCTATTAATTTATTATTTTTACGTTTATCAATTAACCTAAACAAGTATTCATAGGGATAATGGACCAGTGCTGTCAGATTGGGCGCTTTAGCGCCAATTGGGCGGTTTTAAGAAATAATTTGCGCCTAGTTTTTTATAAAAAGCACAAACCGCAATTTGGCCGATTTCTAAAAAAATAAATTGCTCTTTTGGAAATTTTTCGAATTAAACTTTACTTAAAATATATCTTCAGATTGCAGCTGCCTGTATTTAATACTTATAAACATTAACAGCGATCACCACAAATAATAATCATAGATGGTATTAAAGTAGTGTAAACACATATACTTACTGGGTAAGTATATCAAGTGTATATGTGTAAAAAAATGTAATTTTATAATTAGAGGTGAGTGCGGTCAAAATTTGAATTCAAGTAAAAGAAATTGAAATTGAAATATGAGTTCTGATTGGACAGCTAACTTTTTTACTAGGATGTTGTGCAGCCGGCTTCACAGTAATAATATTAGTAATAAATATATATAGCTATATAGCCTACCAGCATTCACAATAATAATGAATAGGAACAGTTTCTATTCCTTATTATTTTGAATGCCAGTAGGGCATATTTAAATTTATTTATTTTAAAAAATAAAGAATATTTATTTTTTTATTTATTTTTAATAATATTAAACATTTATTTTTGTATATTTCATAAATATCAAGAAAAATGTCTTTATCTATAAAAATATTAAACTGGTGTGTTTAAATATTTTTAATGCATTTTGCGAATTAACCGTTACAAGAATTTAATTTTAATTTTACCAATCTAACGTTGGCGCTGATTGCAATTTTGTTGGCGCTTTTGAGCGATATCTCACTCGAAAATTGGCGCCTCGACTTTAAAATATCTGGCAACACTGTAATGGACAGGGTTACTCACTTCTCGACAAAGTTAATTTGCAATTTTTATTTTTTGTCAGTTTTTGTTAATTTCCCATTTCTCAAAAGTAGTAGTTTCTATTGACATTTTTTATCGCTGTTTTATGCATTTTTTGTACTTTTTCATAAGTAAAAATTAATGACTTCCATGGAGAATTCACAAGAAATTTCTCCCTACTATGATAATAACATTTGTTGAAAAAAAAAACAAAAAAAAGACAAATGAACAAAAACTGACCAAAAATGATTTTTTATCAAACATTTTTATTTCCAAATACCTATTCAGAAAAATCAAAATTGCAAAATAAATAAATAAATTTTTAAAATGATGTGCCCTCGGATGTGCCGCATATTCTGAGGTTTTTGAAATCAAGCAAAAACTTTTATCAAGAATATAATTTTCTTAGAAATGTAAATTAATTTTGTTTTTCTCTTTGTAACCCCATTGTTGGAAGGAGGCAAAACTACTTTTGTACCATGCAGCTCCTCCACAGGAAGGTTCAAGCCTCCCTTGAACACATACATGTATGTATCAGGGGCGTAGCCACGGGGGGTTTTGGGGGTGAGCCACCCCCCTAGTTGATTGATATTGACTTATAATTATTTTGTAAACCTGTATGTTCCTTTAACTATGCCCAAGTATAAATATTGTTTCTTCATTTTAAAACCCAAAACCCCCGTTATGAATTTTCTAGCTACGCTACTGATAGCCAAAAAACAACAATAAGGCCACCTAACAAATTTTAAGCCTAAGCTTAAAGTGGAACATACAATAAGGCAAAAATATAAAAAATAATAATTAATAAAACTGCCGTATATCTACTGAATACGTTGCCAAATTGGGCAACCCAATTAATTCAACTAAAAAAATGTAATAAATAAAAATAAACCGGTACGTACCCTTTTATGAAATCTATTAATATCTCCTACTCTCAATGAAACAAATCACTTTATTTGGACTTTCCAACGCACAAACGTGCCATAAGACTTATTGTTTTTAATGATCCACAAACTGTAGCAAACGAACCAACAATTTATAATCTCCTGACAAATAATGGTTGAGAACTGGTATAATGGGTATAATTTTTTAATAGGTTAGCTTTTTTTAATCTATCGGCGAGTGGAGGAACTTCTGTTTGGGGGGGATGTCCATTAACATACAAAAAAGAAAATGGATATTGTACTTTAACGTAAAGCCATTTATGTATGTTCTTAGTTAAACTTTAATTTCATTAAACATTTAGATATAACTTTATTCATTTTTCTTTATTACAATTGCAATTTGTTTAATTAACGCAATTAATAACCAAATTATTGTTATTATTTTGTTATGTCTATGGAATTTGCGTCGATAAAGCAGAAATTACAGGAGGCTACTTTACCTACCTGTAAATTTAGGTTATAACAATTGTTTTCATTTTGTTGACCGCCGAAAGGTAACTTTTTTTAATGATTTTTTGCTTGTTTTTAACAATGATGAATTATAAATCGTTACAAATAAACCAATTAACTTGTTTCAGAGAGAATGTCACGGCAAACGAGCGGCGGTAGAGGCAGAGGTTGGTTGAATGTATACAAAAGTAATTCCGCTCCAATTCAACCTGGAATTGTTCCTGAACCTGTTATAAACAATGCAAAACCAGTGGACAATACTAAATTCGTGGATGCCAGAGAAGAGTACATGGATCTAGCCAACAAAGTCAAAAAATTGAATGTTAATGATGATGGAATATTGTTCAATCAAAAGATCAAATACATACTGGAAAATTGGAAAGAATGCTGCTCCAATGGGGAAGAAGTCGAGTAAGTACACTTTAAAAGAACGAAATTTAACCAAGACGTAAAATCTGTTATTTTAGAAAAAGTTTTGAGTATCTGTATGAGGCATGTTTACAAGATATAGATTTGGCATCAAAAACTGTACTTATGATCTCATCCCGCACATTTATATCACAAGAAGTACATGATCAGAACATAAGGATGATGTTTCTAAGAAAATTACAGGAAATATTTGAAGGTACCTAAGTTGCATACTTTTTTGACTGCAATTACTTTAAGGTTGTGAATTTTTGTATTACCTATGAAATAAAGATTATTATAATGTCAAGTTGACATTGTCAATTTAGGATAGACATAACTGTCTTAAAAATGTCAACTTAATATAGATGTGACTGTCCTAAAAATGTCAGCTTAAGCTGTTTTAAATGAATGTTTTAGTTCTTGAAATAATGCAATTGAACTTACTTTATTTAAGAATTTATTTTAAAATTTAGGTTGTCATCAATTACAAAAATCAAACCCAATAGCCTTTAGAAACAGTATACAAATTTTGGGTGAATTTTACAATAAAGCCAGACTCGCAAATGGAGAACAATTTACATTCATGGCATCTCCCTTGGTTTCATACCTTGACATGCTCCTAGAAGCCACAAATGTTGATGATTTAAAACTTTTTACCACACAGGTTTGTAATTTTACTTTTATTCATTTAATTTTATAACATAAATCTTTTTAGTTATATTTGAATGGTTCATCAATTAAAAATGAAATTCCTGAAAAAATTATAGAAATCATAATAAAAGTACGACAGCTTTTAAGTTCCGATAAAAAAATTGTAAGAGATGGAAAACTTTGGCTCCTATTGGCTTTAGAAGTTTCCAATAACAGATTCACAATACTACCAGCCGAAGCACATTCTTTTTATCAGGAAATGTTGGGGGATGCTGCTATGGCAACATTACAAGTAAGATTTGAATTATTATGAATTATTTTGAGTGCATGAAAGTGTCTTTTTTTATTTTTTACTGTACCTACAATATTATAAAAATATCAAATTTTACAAGTGTATTAGTTTTTTAATTAGTATGTGATACAATTAAATGTTTTGGGTAAACTAGAATTGTTTGCATGGACAAAACAGTTGAGGAGGTTACCTATATATATATATATATATATATATATATACAGGGTGTTTCATAATATATGCGGCGCATATTATGCGCAGGACTTCAGGATATGATAGCTCATCCAAAAAGATGAAAAAAGTCGCTATTAACTTACCCTCTAAAATGCACAATTTTCGAGATACAGGGTGTTGAAATTTTAGAAAAAAATTCTGTTTTGGGCCAGAAAAAAAATTTTCCTCATAATTGGTGGAGATTTTGAAGGGGTAGCGCCGCTACCGTAGCGGGTATTTTTCTCCTCAACTTCTACGCCACTGAAAAATGTACGGTTTTGAGAGGCCTATTCTAACCGCCAATGTTTTCTACACAAAAAAGGTACTCTTGGTCATAAACTCTAAAGTTGACCGTTTTCGAGAAAAATCAACTTTTATGTTTAAAAACATGGTCAATTAAAAAAAAAATTTTTTTTACTAATTAAACAAAATTTATTTTAACGTTAGAACAAGTAACAAAACCAAACCATAATTGCAAAATAAAAAATGATTCAAAAGTTGTCTTTGCTAAATTCTCCAAACCGTAAAGGTAACGCATTTCGAACATTTCAGCATTTGTGTAAAAAATCATTTTTTATTTTTTTTTTAATTTTGCAATTATCGTTTGATTTTGTTACTTTTTCTAACGTTAAAATAAATTTTGTTTAATTAGTAATAAAAAAAATTTTTCAGGGGCGTTGAAGTTGAGAAGAAAAACACCCGCTACCCCTTCAAAATCTCCACCAATTATGAGTAAAAAAAATTTCTGGCGCAAAACATAGCTTATTATGAGTAGAAAATGCTTACAAAAGCTGTTTTTTGTACGACAAACGGTTCCAGAGATAATCGAAAAAAACGATTTTTTTTCTAAAATTTCAACACCCTGTATCTCGAAAATTGTGCATTTTAGAGGGTAAGTTAATAGCGACTTTTTTTCTTTTTTTTGGATGAGCTATCACATCCTGAAGTCCTGCGCATATATTATGAAACACCCTGTATATATTTAACAATTTTAGGGAGTTTTTTTGTCTTGTGCTTAACCCTTTTTAGAAGTGACCATTATAGCTCCGCCATTTTGGGTTTTTCTATATTGAAAAAACTGTCTTAAAAATGTCAACTTGATATAGATACAACTGTCCACTTAGGATAGATATGTCCACAATCCACACAACAAGGTCTGTTCTATCTCTTACTAAAAATACAAAAAATCACTGCAACACTGCACAGTTTAACGGCGGCCATTTTTGTTGTTTACAATTTTTGTGCTTTGGGTTTGTGCTTTGTTTATACAGATTAATAATCGTTTTAAACGTTGTGTTTCTCATAGTAAGCATTAAAAGAGTCCTTAAAGTGCTAAGAACAACCATTTTACTCCTCTATTGTAAAAAAAATAAACTTTCTATCAGGGCTGTCATAAAACTGTCAAATGTCAATTTTTAGGTTAAATTATAACCTTCAAATTGTCATTTGACAGCCCTGATAGAATAAGGTATATTTATTATGAAAGAGGAGTAAAATGGTTGTCCTTAGCACTTAAAGGCCTTATTTGAGGCTTACAAGTGCCTCTGTAAGAAACACAACGTTTAAAACAATTATTAAACAGCACAAACCCAAAGCACAAGAATTGTAAACAACAAAAATGGCCGCCGTTAAACTCTGTGCAGTGTTGCAGTGATTTTTAGTATATTTAGCATGAGATAGAACAGACCTTGTTGTGTGGATTGTGGATATGTCAACATAAGGGAAATAACTGTCTCAAGAATGTTAACTTGAGATAGATAGCAGTGGCGTAACAAATTCTGAGTGGCCCCCCCGCAAACGATTTTAATGGGCCCTCTTTACAATAAGAAAAAAGTTTATTTAATAGGTAATTTTTAAAATAGTTTATCATAGTACTTTTAAACCTACATTATATACATAATATTTTATAAATTAAAAATTTTGACAGGTAGGTATAGAGTGTAAACGATAGACAGACATACGATAAGCAAATAAAAAAGGATTAGGTGAGAAAAATTGCTGTATCTGCAATTTTTGGTAGAAAAACATAAAATATTTAATTAATTTTGCTTTAAAAATATCTTATTCTATATACCTTTTTATATGCAGGATCATTTTCGTAATTCTATAATATCTTATTGATTCTTTAAAAAAAATATTTTCTGTTCTTATTACCAAATATATTAAAAATATTATACTATTATATCAGCAATATTAACAATTTAAAAATAATAATAATTTAAAAAATGTATACACATCTTACCAAGTTTAAACAGTCTTGAAAAAAATTAAAAATATATTGTAGATAGTCTTAAAGAAGTTAAATTTAAAAAAAAATTAAAAACATAAACATTTACTACAAAAAATGGTCTGATCTTCTAGAGTTTTTTTTTGCAAATTCAGTTATAATATTAATAATAATATTCAGTTATAATGTTTAATGTCTTAATAAACTCATGTTCAATACTAATAATTAATAAATTACAAAGACGTTGTTTTCCCATAGTGTTACGAAGATATGTTTTCACTATTTTTAGTTTCGAAAAAGAACGCCTTGGGCCCCCTGACCGTCTGGGCCCCCCCGCGGTGCGGGGTCTGCGGAGGTGCTTATTACGCCACTGATAGATAGAACTGTCAACTTAAGCTATTTATAACTGTTACAAAGAATTCCTTTTAAGACTGTATGAAACAAGTCAACTATAGATAGATATCACTGTCTTCAGAATGTCAACTTAAGCTAGATTTACCTCTTATAAAGATTTCCTAAGGATAGATATAACTTTTTAAGAATTGTAACTGTCTTAAGAGTGTCAAATTGAGATAGATAATATTTATCTTTACATTATGTCAACTTAAGCTAATTGTAAATGATTTAAAATTGGCATGAATGTTACGTTCTATTTAAGGTAAGCAACTTAATGATAGTCAACGTTTGTTTTATGTAGGGAACACATGGGGCCCTAAGTGTACAAACCACTCATGTTAGTAAAACATTGGATAGCTACCAGAGCAATGTGAACGTGTTGCAAGTGTCGACGCCCCCCGAGACTCCTGTGGAAGATCAAATAATAGCTCCCATTGGCCAAATGGATTTAAACACAACAAACTACAGCACAAGTAGCGGTATAAGCTCTGATTCGAGTCAGAATTCCTTCAACAGAAGGGAGCACAAGAACAATATGAACAAGCCTGGAGGGCGGCCTATTTTGGGCGCCGGTGCCAGGTTTAACAAACACAAGGGAAGCGAGGAAGGAGGTAGTTGGCGGGATCAAAACAAAGACGCTAGTGCTGGTGGTAATTGGAACAACAAGCAAAAAGGGTGGAACGATAATAAAAAGGGAGGTAACAATCCCCCCAAAACAGGCAAGGGTTGGGAGCATGATGATAGATTTGAAACTGACTATAGTTAAAAAGTTTTTGAAGAATTTAATTGTGTTGTATATAATGTCCTAGAATTTTATTTTATTAATTATGGTTTTATAAGATATTAGCGAATTTTTAGTAAAATTTTTTTACAAACTATTGTTAGTGAACTAGATTTTATATTTAATAATTTAAATGAACATGATATACAGAATATTTTAATAACTTATGGGAGTAAAAAACTACTGATCATTTTATTAAATTTATCAATTCACAGTTTATATCGCAAATTTTAAGGAAACACGTTTTTCTAAAATTGCGGGGTACCCCTTGTGGGCCGTTTACATTTTTAAATTAATTTGAATACGTATTTGTATGTCTAACGTGACATCACTTAGTTAATGCCTTTAACGCATATATTATGCTGAGGAAAATGCCGTGCTTTGATTGGTTTATGACATTATATATACACCATTTACTTTAAAAAGTAATGTCTGTAATTTCAAGAGATCAATTTTTTTTATTTTTAAAATGACCAAGTGTGTCATTTTTGGGACATTTACTTTTTACTTCCACAAGCCACATTTTTTATACATTCTGTGTAAAGTGATCTAATTGAAACCCTAATTTAAGCTTAACCTAGGTTAACCTACTTAATCTTATTAAAACATAGCCTTAATAATGTAGGTTCTAGAAATTAATATTTAAAATAATTTTATTGAATTTAATCTTTTTATTGTGTTTTTAATTAATTCTCTTATTTTTTAAATTGTGATATTTTCTTTTTACGTATTTACGAAATTTAGGTGCATTATATTTTTGTATTTGTACATAAATCAATTTTTACAGTCTTATTATAATTATAAGTAATCATATGTATAAAATAAGCAATTTTTTTTGTAAATATGGGTGCCTGTATTTAATTAATTTATTTTTAATGTATTGGGGATCTTATAATACAAGATCATATGATCATAATATACAGGGTGTCTCAGATTTCAATCTGGAAAATTTAGTAGTCAATAGAACACACAAAAATAAGAAGAAAATTTTATAAGAAATTGTTTTAAATAAAAAAATAAAAACTCCTTGGCCGAATTTTATAAAACGTTTTTAGTAAAGGGCTACTGCAGGATACAACATTTTTTATTTTTAATTGCTTAATCTGAATATAATATTAAACTCATAAGGGGACATCCATTAATTATGTGAGATAAAAATGGAGGGGAGGGGTCTAGCATAATCTCACCAAATCTCATTTTAAAGGAGGGGGGTCAATTTTGGGTTTATCATGTCCGCAATGAAAGTCTACCACTTCTCACCAAGGGGGATTACGTCACGGAATTAAATGATGTCCCCTAAGAAAGGATTGGCATGTTCATACTTTTTTAACTTAACACCCTCTATATCAAGAACAAAGCTTTAAAGCATACAAGTACAAGTTCATATAAACTTGTCTTCTTATTTTTGGGAGTTCTATGGACTAGTAAATTTTCTCTATTAAAATCCGAGACAACCTATATACACTGCCCGTCAAAATTAATGCATAATTAGTAAAAAAAATCAAAAGATACAGCGCTTCAAAGTCGGTAAAAATGGCCCCATTTTTGATTATTTTGCTGAAAAATAGTCATTTTTGACGACTTTGAAGCGCTGTATCTTTGTTACTGTTCGTTTGATTTGCACAAAATTTTTATGGTATAGTAACATACGGTCTTTAACAACATATTTTTAATTTACTTAAAAAAAATTCTGTAAAAGTTATTTTTAGAACGTTTTTTTTATTATTTAGGTAATTAAAGGGCTTTAAAAATATTTTTTTGAAAAACCCTTGAACACGTAAACTGAGATATAAGTTGAAGTATTTTTATACAAAATTTCATAAAGATTGGTAAAGGCGTTTTAGAGTTAGCATTTTTTTATTAATTTGCTTTAAAAATATTTTTTTGAAAAACCCTCGAACACGTAAACTGAGATATAAGTTGAAGTATTTTTATACAAAATTTCATAAAGATTGGTAAAGGCGTTTTAGAGTTAGAATTTTTTAATTAATGGGCTTTAACAATATTTTTATTTTAAAACCCTTGAACACGTAAACTGAGATATAAGTTGAAGTATTTTTATACAAAATTTCATAAAGATTGGTAAAGGCGTTTTAGAGTTAGAATTTTTTAATTAATGGGCTTAAAAAATATTTTTTTTAAAACCCTCGAACACGTAAACTGAGATATAAGTTGAAGTATTTTTATACAAAATTTCATAAAGATTGGTAAAGGCGTTTTAAAGTTAGAATTTTTTTACTTATTATGCGTTAATTTTGATGGGCAGTGTATTATAAACAATTGGGGTGGGGGCTTGAAATCAGCATTATTAAGAAAAAATAAATATACAGCTGTATATTTATTTTCCTTTATTAATGTTAATCTTATAAGCCCTAGAGTCATCAGAAAGCTTTTTAAATATGAAGAATTCTAAGATGGTTTTGTCTTTACCATTTTTTTAAATTTTTTTAAATCATTACCTTTTTGTCATCAATCAATTTAGGCTTTAAAACAATATTTCAGGAAAACTAGTATTCTTGCACCCAAATTTTTCAGACATAGACTTCAGGGGGTTTCTTAATATTTTTGACTTATCTTTCTATAAAAAGGGATCTCTATAAAACAATAAGCCAATCAACGGATAGCCATCGCACCTCCCTGCTTAAAATACCCTGTTCAAACCGATAGATATTTGTATCGAAATGTATGGTGTTTCTATAGGGTGTATTGGTATGTTGGGATTTATGGTTGTTCTATAGGGATATCCACTCTTAATTTATTTGCTATTGGTTTCAATGGGGAAAATACACATAAATGTAGAAATTAGTTTTTCCCCCATAGAACCCTATAGGTTTTAATAAAATTTTGACAAATATTTTATGGTTGCTCTCTAGGGATATCCCTATATATCCTTCATTGAGTTATTTGATATCAGTCTCAATAGGGAAAATGTAAAAGTTATGGTGTGCCTATAGGTAATTTCCTATAAATTTTCTATCGGGCCGTATCCTGAAAAAACCATGGACAAATGCACATATTGAATCCGGTAGCGCCCGATAGATTATTTTGTATAGGTCTCTATGGGGTATTTTAAGAAGGGCTAGTATGCTTTCAAGAATGTCATGCTCTGATCAGAGATGTTTATTGCCTTTGATGGAAAGTAAATTCTTCAATTTTAAAAAACTTCCAGAAATTGGCTTTCCAAAAAGTGCTATATTTTGAAAATTTTGATAATTGGTAAAGACAAACCTTTATGGAATTTCTATTTTTTCGTATTGTAATGTTTTTGCATTTTATTTAATTGTATACATTAAATGTATTATTATATTTCTATATTTAAGAACATAATATTGTGGAACGGACATACATTTTTAAAGAAGAATTAGCATTAAATTTTCTTGTAAATCAGGGGACATCCATTAATTACGTGAGACAAAATGGGGGAAGGTGTCCAGCAAAATCTCACCAAATCTCATTTTAAGGGGGAGTCATTTAAAATCTCATGTCAACTTTTGAGTTTAAAAAATATTTATTATAATTGAGGACCCTAGAAGGCATAGAAATTACATTTAAAAAAACATGTAGTTATGTACAGAAAAAGAGAGTAAATGGTACATTTTATTTGGTATCCAAGGGATATAACTGAATTCAAGGTAAAACAACAAACAATTTTGACTCCAAATTACAAGTGTTTTTTTACTTTAAACATGATTATCTCAAAACTTAACAAAATGTATTTGTACCCCTTCGCTTCTAGGGTCCTCAATTAAAATTTGTTAACAAAAAACATTTTTTTTACATGTTGCCTGCAAAGAAAGTTTAATGTCTCATATGAGGAATAGGGAGGGTCTACCACATCTCACCAAGGGGGAGCAGGGGGGAATGCCTCACTTAATTAATGGATGTCCCCTAAGTAATAATTGAATAATCTTAGTAAAATTTATTTAATAATATGTAATAATTATTAATAACATATATAGTAATTTTTAATGAATTGGTAATTTTGCAAGTTTAATAGAATTATTAAATTAACTATTCCAAAACTTCCAAGACTTATTTACTTACCTATCTTTAAATTTGAAAAAATAAACAATTTAATTTACATTATGTTTATTTACTTCTTAAATATTTACAAAAAACACTATTAAAAAACAAATCTATTGCTTGCTGGTGGTCCATCCTCGTGGCCTTTCTGCTGTTAGAGTCCAATCCTGATGAACTGACCAAACGGTACCTGCAGCAATTGGAGTATCACTTGGTGGAATAACATCCCATCCATGCTGTTGAGCAGACTTCCTCATAGACCCCATAATACCCATGAACATAGCCATATTAAAACCAACCATAGGTCTTCTGGACCATACTCCAAAAAGACTGCCTGCTGCAGCTCCCCCGATGAACCAATTTATTTTACCATCCTGTTTCCTTAAGCTTCCAGCTAAATTTGTCACAATTACGAATGTGGATGTTATTCCTATTATTGGCAGTCCAATAAATGCATATCGAGCTAGTGTTTTGGCATAACCTTTCGGGTGAGAATACAACAATACATCAGCGGTGGATAAACCAATGGCAGCCAAAATTGTGGGTTTTAAAGCGAGCGATAACTTCTTAAAGATATCCTCTCCATCGGGGGAATCAAAAAATTTAAAGGGCTTTAGTTCTTTCGACATTTTAAATGTTATGTAAAATGTCTGACAGATAAATGACAGATGACAGAAAGAAAATGGTTATATGCACAATATGAAGTTAGGAACTAAATAAACAAATCACTATTATTTCTAAGGATTTATTAATACCAATTTAATATTGGTTTGTTTAATTTAAGTTATATTGCTGGAATATGTCGTGTTTAATGATTTAAAATCTTTTTTGAGAATGTTAAAGGTCTCTTCGCAAACTGCGAGAAAGTGGAAACATGTGCACTGTGATAATTGTTTACTCGTTGAGTGAATCAATGGTTTACTTCTAAAACTTGGTAAGTGCATTTTTTAGGGTATATTAATTATTTGTAAAAATGTGCTTTGCAGAACCAAAATTTTCTGTAGTTTCGAAATCTCTGAAAAGAAAGTTTTGCTGCTATCTTCATTGTAAAACTGAACAAATCAGATGGAAATGACAGAAAGAAATTACTCAGAATAAAAACCTAAAAATATGTGATAACTAAAAAGGAATAATGGCAGAGGATAAAGTGTTTGTATCATTTACATGCCAAAGATGTTCGCAGGCTCTTCGACTGGACGAATCGTTGAACTCATTTACAGAACACATATCTGCTGAATTGAACAGTATGTAAACAAAGCAATTTAAGTTTCGGAGTGTTGGGACAATATTTAAAAATTGGTTTAAAAAAAATCTTGTACTTTGTATAAATGTTTTATCACATTTTATAATTTCTTATGAGAAAAATTGTCCCTCTATAAACCCAAGTCACATTAGACAACAAGTAAGACTAGGACAACCTAATAATTATGCAAAAACCATAATTTTGCAGATAAAACCTACAGGTTTTTTTAAACGTAATTATGGTAGTGTCACAATAATCTGGATTAATTAAAACGGTGTCCCATGATCACCAGAAAACCTTTTAACTATGATTTCCTTGAAAAATTGTAAGAAGCTTAGGTTTAAACGAGTTTCCATTGACTGTGTGACACCCCATGTAAAAGTCCCTATTACTATGTATTTTTTTTGTAGTACCCATACATTCCAATCCAGATGTGGACTTGGAGTCTCAGGCCACCAGTTTTGACCATTATGTGCCTCCATATAGGCTGTCAGATTCTGGTAATGGAGTAAATGGGTTTATGTTGATTTCTGATGAAAATGAAGCAGAAGTTCATAGTAATAGATTTAAGGTAGGTAATTTAAGAATAAGAATTTTTTCATTAAAATCTGTTTTGATTTACTTAACATGCTGTATAAACAATTTTGTTTTAGATCCATGAAGCATTGTTTGATACAATCTCAGGAAATTCTAACATAGATCATCCACTTTGTGATGAATGTACAGATTATTTGATAGATATACTGGAAAATCAAATAAAAATAACCCAAAATGATTTTGATGATTACCAGCAATATTATAAAATGTGAGTTCTCAATTTTGGTGTCAAATTTGCCTTTAACAATCAATGAATTTTAGGCTATTACAAAATGATTCCAATGAACCCAAGTTGAATGAGCTTCAAAAAGAATTGAATGATCTTTTAGAAGAACAAAATCGTTATTTGGAAGAAATGGAAGCTTTTGAGAAGGAAGAAATTGATTTACTGAATGAAATAAAGAAACAAGAAGAAATATCCAAAAAAATATCTTCTGAGGAAGAGAAATATTATCAAGAATACACTAAACATCGCCGCTCCTTAGTTTCTACAGAGGAAGATGCTAGAAGTCTGGATACTCAATTAAATCTGGCTAATACCCATCTAGATAAACTTAAAAACACCAATGTTTTTAATGCCACTTTTCATATTTGGCATAAAGAACATTTTGGAACAATCAATGGCTTTTGCCTGGGCCGGCTTCCCTCTGCCCCTGTTGATTGGTCTGAAATTAACGCAGCCTGGGGCCAAACTTCACTGCTCCTCTCAGCACTAGCCAGAAAAATTAATTTAACCTTTGAAAGATACAAATTGGTGCCATACGGTAATCATTCTTACATTGAAGTAATTGGTGAACAAAAAGAACTGCCACTGTACGGTTCTGGAGGATTCAGATTTTTGTGGGACACCAAGTTTGATCATGGAATGGTGGCTTTTCTCGATTGTTTATCGCAATTCCAGGAAAAAGTTGAGCAAATGGAAAAACCCACCAAAATGTTTTGTTTTCCCTATAGGACAAATAAAGGGAAAATAGAGGATAAAGATGCTAGCTACTCAATAAAGTAATATTACATAAATACATATAGGGTGACCAACAAATTCCACACCAAGAGAAAAAATCTTAGTAGTTTCTAACTTTGAATTTTATAGTATTAAAATAAAAAAGCTCAAAAACTTTATGTGGACTTGGTGCGCAATTTTCGTGACACCCTGCATTCTTATTAAGACTTTCTTAAGCTTGAATTTATTTTTTTATATTTTATTTTAGGATCCAATTAAATTCTGAAGAACAATGGACAAAAGCTTTAAAATTCATGTTGACCAACCTAAAGTGGGGTCTGGCTTGGCTTGCTTCCCAGTTCAATAGTGATGGGGAGGAAATTCTACAAAATGATTCTTAAATTTATTTACCATTTTAATCATTGTTATTATACATATTTAATTTTGTTTATAAAATGACTGATTGAATTTGTTGTATTAATTGAAAATAAAATTAGTACCTTGATAGTATATTTGCTTCCTAAATGTTAAGTAGAAATTATACATAGGTATGTAAGAATAAGATTATCATGCATTTTTTTATTTTGAATCCTAAAAATCTTTAAATTATCACAAGTACGTACATACGTACTTGTTAAATATTTAAAAAATCTGACAATAATATTTTAAGCTTGACATTTATCCTTTAACTTGAAAACTATGGTTTTGTAATTTTTAAAATTTAGGCATTTTATTTAAAAAAATGTATTGTTGCCTATTGCCTGGTATATAAATTTAAAATAATTTATTTAATTATTAATTTATTTGATTAATTTAATTTTCTCAATTCTGTAGGTAAAAGGCATAAGGGGTTAAGTAAAAAAAAGCAATTTTTTAATAGAGCCTTTAACGTGTTCGCATTAATTCAGGAAATATATTTATGTTTGGCTAACCATAAATATGTTTCCTGAATTAATGCGAATACATTTAAGGCTCTACTGAAAAATTGCTTTTTTTGACTTATCCCCTTATGCTCACAGATTATAAAGTTTATGCCTTTTACCCATGGAATTTAAACTCAAGAATTTTGAATTTCCCGCGCATAATTCGATGTGTGTTTTTGCAGTGCTGGCAACTTCACTACTGTCAAAAACTTCCTTTTTCTCTTGGACTCGTAGTGACAAGGTAAATGAAGTGTTTTCTTTTTATATCTTGTGTTTTAAGGATCATCGATAAATTAAACTAATATTTTTGAATAAAGCGATTATTCTTTATCATGCTAATAACAATATTTTTCGTGTTTTCCAGAAAGCAACAAAAATGTCCGATGTTGAAGTGTGAGTACCTAACCTATAATACAATTATTGTGTTCTGTTTTTTACAATGATGAATTTGTGGCGGCTCCCTCTTCTGAGGTTACCCAAATAAAAACCGTGCTGAGAATCGCCAACTGAACCCACCAAAACCATAAAAATAAGTGTAAAAATGTGAAGGAAATTTACTAAAGTATGTTTTTAGTGACGAAACTCCCTCCGGCCCTCCAGTGACTGGGGGCGCGATGGACGTGAACCAGGCTCTTCAAGAAGTTTTGAAAACAGCCCTCATCCACGACGGTGTCGTTCATGGATTACACGAAGCTGCCAAGGCCCTTGACAAAAGGCAAGCACAACTGTGCGTCCTTGCTGAAAACTGTGACGAACCAATGTACAAAAAATTGGTTTCTGCACTTTGCTCTGAGCACCAAATTCCCTTAATCAAAGTTGACAACAACAAGAAATTGGGTGAATGGTCTGGTCTTTGCAAAATCGATAACACTGGCAAGGCACGTAAAGTTGTTGGCTGCTCTTGTGTTGTGATTAGGGTAAGTCAAATTAGTTGTTTTTTATGAATTTAAGTAAACTTTACTTAGTTGCTTGTTTTTAAATATAAACTTTGGATGCTATAATATAGATATTATCTCCAAAACAATAAAATTTTACAGGGTGTTAAAAAAATGCTCCTATAATGGTGGATTTATGCAGAACCAATTAACATTAAGTTAAGATTAACATTAGGATTAACATTAAAAAGTTAAAATGAATGTAATAATATGGAAGCATTTATGCAACACATTAACATTAAGCCCATTATACCCTCCTGATATTGGTTAAATTAATCTTAATGTTAATTTTAATTTGTGCTGCATAATTCCACCATAAATTAACCTAATTGTTTGAACAAAATTTTTCTCTGCACAGAGCTCATTGAGCCAGGAGGAAATAAAGAAATTTAAAATTATTTATGCTGTGAAATTTTATTATTTGAAGGTATGTTCTTACACTGGATCCCTCAGTTTTTAATATTATGAATTTTAAATGCTTTATTTAATTTTACTTAATTTTGGTTTGGTAATTCTTTTTGTGAAAATTTATTTCAGTTAAGTTACTTTTTGTGACTCATCTGTATTTATTAAACCCTACAGACTAGCCACATTTCAATTTTAAACCTTAATGATGATTTGTGACGGCTCCCTCTTCTGAGGTTACCCAATTAAAAACCTTGCTGAGAATCGTCCACTGAATTTTACTTAAATTCCAAATAAAATTACTTATTTGTTAACATAAAGTAATTGTGTTTTTTTTTGCTTCAGGACTATGGTGAGGAATCCCCTGGATTAGATATTCTTAAAGATTACCTTAAGAATGCCAAGTAGGTTATTTTTAAAATAAAAAATTTGTAAAAATATCCACTTACTTTTATTAAAACTCCTTTTTTGTCAAGTTAAATAGAGTAAGTACGAATTAATTTATATTATTATATATATTTAATATATTATGTACATTTTTTTGTACTGTGCTCCACACCCAAAAGGCCCACTTTGAAATTCAAATGTGGAACCCAGCCTTATGATGACGAGAAGTAAATATGTTAAATACTAATAAATATATATGTTTACATGTTTTGTGTCCTAAATTGGTAGGTTATAGGCTTAATTGCATATGCACAGCAAAAAGTGGCATTTTAAAAAAATGAAATCTATTATATTTTATGCTTTGAGTAAGTATGTCATTCATATGTTGCAAATTTAAAACAACTTTTTTTTACAAAAATGTAGGCATATGACCCTCTGTAGCCCTTCAGTAGATGTATTATGGTCCATAATTTATGGAACCAACAGGGATGTTTTGATAAATAGTTCTTTCCAAATGGATAATACTGGCAAACTTGTTGGGTGGTTTCATCTTGTAGAAAAGGTAAGTTATTCCTTTTAAAAGCCATTCTATTATTTATCATTTACAGGCAGGAACATGGCAAAGGTTTTGTTTATTTTTATTAAAATGATGTCAACTTTTTCAAAAAAATTTCTGACTTGAATCTTAAATGTAATTGTTAATTTTTAAACTAAAAATAGAGGAATTTATATTTATTCAACTGCTTATTAAATTTTTATATTTATATATTTTTATATATTTGTCTCAAGATTAATGACATACCAAGAGCATTTTTTGCCTGGAGCAAAGAATAATCTGTTTTACAAATTTTGTCTAATGTATGATTTCAAAATTTAGGGTTAGCAAAAACATGTTTAAATTTTCTTTAAAAACGGGTTTTGAATTAAGTTATTTTTGGTTAGTTCAAAACATGTAATAATAAACCAAACAATTTTTAATTAAATAATTTTTAGAAAATAACAATTTTTTCCAAAATCACCGCAATTTCATTCCCATTCATTGGAAATATTGGAATTTATTATCGGAACCTCGAAAAAAGCGGAGTCGGTGTGACATCCCCCTTGCTATGTCCCTGTCTATACGCTATACAACTGAATAAAGTATATTTTGAACATTCCTTTAAAGCATAACTGACAAAAATTAGAAAGTTGAAAACAGTATTTTTTAATAAAAATATTTTTTTTTGCCAGAATTCTAATAATAAAACCAAGCTAATTGTTCATAATATCTATATAAAAGAATTAATATAATAATAATAAAAACTAGCTTTAAAACTAATAGCCTGGGAGATAGCAACAGTTTTTGTGAAATCATTTCTATTTTTGTTTTCAATCAGTGGTAGGCCAGCCCAGTGGTGGCTTGAGATCAAGTGAGGGAAAATCTCTTTCTTGCCGACCAGCCGCCACTGTTTACAATGATACTTTAGTGAGTACTAATGATAAAAGTGCAAGTTTTTTAGTGGTATATAAAGAAGAATAAAATTAAACAAAACATACCGTAAAATAATATTTTATCGCGTCGGAAGCAGTGCAATGTCATGACACGAACTGCAGTTCTAAAACCCACGCAGTGTACGAAAAAAAAATTGAAATACATATCGTGTTGGCTGATTTTTTTTTCTAAAATAGTTTATTAAATAAGAAATCCAAATAAATACAGTTTGCCGCATAGGAAGCGGTGCCATGTCAGTTCTTTCACCCACGCACTTTGAATAAGAAATACAAAAAAATTTGTTTGCATTTATGCTATTTGTCTTATCTTGCATTCCATTGCATCTAGGGAGGCTTAAGCAACATAAGACGTTTGGTAGACTATACTTTTTGGATTTCTTATTCAATAAACTATTTAAGAAAAAAATGCTGCCTTTTAGATTTAAATTAAATTTTCTTTTTTTTCACACTGCGTGGGTAGAACTGACCGCATCCAACGCAGTAAACTATATTTTTTTGTTTATTATTTAATAAACCATCCCAGATTTATGGTTATGGTTTATTAAATAATAAACAAAAAAATATAGTTTACTGCATATTATGTAGATTTTCAGTTTTATATTTATAATACATGTATGCAAATTTTTGCAGTAAGTTTAATTTTTTTCTTATTTTTGCACCACTAAAAGTTACCAAGTAGTCTTTCATAATTGATACTATCTAGCTTTATATTTATAATATCAGTATATAAAGTTAATTAATACAATTTAAAATAAAACATACTTTTTTAAAAGTTTTCATGATGAATTGTGACGGCTCCCTCTACTGAGGTTACCCAAATAAAAACCCTGCTGAGAATCGTCCGCTGATTTTAAAATAAATTCGCATATTGAACTTATTTTTTTAACAAATCACTTGTTAATGTTTTTATTTTTCTTATTTCAGGATTGAAACCATCAAGACTTGTTGACTATATAAATTGGGGTAAGTTTTTGGATTAAAATTATCTTAAGGTTTCAACTTAAAAATAAAAATGATTTTTTTACTTTAAAACTAATATTAATATTAAACTAGCATCAAAACTAATATTTAAGATAATAATTATCAGAATTATTCTATTAAAATAACTTGAAGAAGTGTACATTTTTTATGATATTTGAAAGAACTAACTTTAAAACTAATGTTACCAAAAAAAACATAAGGAACATAGCTTTTTAAAAGTTTTCGTGATGAATTGTGACGGCTCCCTCTACTGAGGTTACCCAAATAAAAACCCTGCTGAGAATCGTCCGCTGATTTTAATATAAAATTATTTTGATTCGCTTTTTAATATCAATTATTGTTAAATAATGTTATTATTTTTCGTATTTCAGGATTGCAACCATCAAGACATGTTGACTGTTCCTATATTGAAATTAGGGTAAGTTTTTGGTTTAAAATTATCTGAAGGTTTCAACTTTAAAATAAACATAATTTTTAAGCTATAAAACTAATCTTAATATTAAACTAGCATCAAAATTAATATTTAAGATAATTCTATCAAAATAACTAGGAAAGTGTAAATTTTTTATTAATATGATATTTGAAAGAACTAACTTTAAAACTAAGGTTACCAAAAATAAACATAAGGAACATAACTTTTTAAAAGTTTTTGTGATGAATTGTGACGGCTCCCTCTACTGAGGTTACCCAAATAAAAACCCTGCTGAGAATCGTCCGCTGATTTTAAAATGAATTTACAAATTTTGCCTTAATCGTTTTTAAACACAAAAAAATATAGCATAATTTTTTTTTGCTTCAGGAATGTACTGAAAATCCCCTGATCCAAAGTCTTATTGGGTGATTAATCCTGTGGTTTTGGTAAGTTAAACATCATTTTATTTACAATTTACTTAGTAACTTTTTAAAAGTTTTCGTGATGAATTGTGACGGCTCCCTCTACTGAGGTTACCCAAATAAAAACCCTGCTGAGAATCGTCCGCTGATTTTAAAATAAATTCGCATATTTATTAGTTTTGTTTTTAAATAACAACATTGTTAAATAATGTTTTATTTTTCTTATTTCAGGATTGCAACCATTAAGACTGGTTGACTGTTCCTATATTGAAATAAGGGTAAGTTTTTGGTTTAAAATTATCTAAAGGTTTTAACTTAAAAATAATAGTTATTTATGTATCAAGGCAGTAAAGTCGTATTTTTTATCACGAATAGCGAAAGCCGAGACAAATAACCACGTGAGTGATAAAAATGACTTTAATGCCGAGGTGCATATTAAATTTTATCTAAAATCGCATTCATAAACCAAAATGTCATTTGAATATAGGAAGTGTCTATACTGTTTGTTGCGACGGTTATGATATATTTGCCCGCCGCGGGTATTTTTTAATTTAATTAATAAAATTAACTTATTATTTTATTAAACATTTTATGAAAGGGTCCAATCGACCTCCGCAACGGTGCTTTTTTAAAAATATTATTTAGTTGCTGCTGAGGAGCAGTAGACACATCTTAAATGTATAATGGGTTGCATACAATACTCGTATTAAATCGGCAGTAAAGTTCCACTTTACTGCCGATTTCTTATACTTCACTGCCGATTGTTGACCACTGCCGATTTCGGATAAAAATAATTTTGGAACTAATTTTAATATTAAACTACCATCAAAACTAATATTTAAGATTCTATCAACATAACTTGTGAAGTGTAATTTTTTTATTATTGATATTTGAAAGAACTTACTTTAAAACTAATGTTACCAAAAATAAACAAAAGAAACAGCTTTTTAAAAGTTTTCGTGATGAATTGTGACGGCTCCCTCTACTGAGGTTACCCAAATAAAAACCCTGCTGAGAATCGTCCGCTGATTTTAACCTAAATTTTCAAATTATATTTTTGTGCTGTAAACATAAAAGTAATTGTTTTTTTCTTATTCCAGGGTTATGGAGATAAATACATGTATATTTAATATTCTAAATTTAATGAATACTAACTAAAATTACGTGTAAGATATTTGTTTTATTTATTTAATAAATTAATAAAAAAAATCAAGCAACTTTTATTGAAACCTCCCTCAAGCACAACAGGTTTAATTGTTTATGTTTAGCATACTGGTTTACAATATTCTTTATGTTGATTCCAATGTTCAACCTGACAAACTCTTGAACAATACCATGATGTTTTACATCTTGAACATTTTTGTATTGAATCCTTACCACATCTAGCACAAGTTGTATTTTTATCAGAAATATCTAATTTTTCTAGTAAATCTGTGTTATATGCTTCACTTAGTCTACAAAAACATGTTTTAATACTATTTTTTTTAAGCTTGCACACTTACTTATTAGCTGCATCTTTTAAAGCTTGCTTATCCTTTGTAAAAATGACAGGTCTCTGCGTCTCGGCGATTTTTTTCCATTTTTCACCGGTCTCTTTTAGTATACCTTGTTTGATTTCAAGTGAGGTTTCAATAATAAAAGGCTTACCGGAATTGCCACTATTTTCCATTACAGACAATCGGCACAACCAGTGTTTTAATTCGATTAAAGGCGACATTTGGTCCAAAAGTAAATGAGACATAAAGGGAAGTATTTTTAATAGTTGAGATTTGCGACTATCTGTTATGTTGTAGTAATTTTGGCATTCTGGGTCCAGTAGAAGTGTTCTTAAAGTTAACCACACCTAGAATAAGTTATTATTTGTTTGCGTAAAAAAAATATTTTTTTAACCTGCGCTTCAGGTTGGCACACTTGCGAACCATCGGCATTTTTCCATTTGCCCCCTGTATATTGTTTACCATCTACATTCCATGGATTTTTCAATAAGATTTCGGTAAATAGGACGGGTATATCATAAGTAGTGTACATTTTTGATAAAATTGATATTGGCAATCTAAAATTTTAACAGTGTATTAAAAAAACCAAATGATGCATCGCACATAACGACCGTTAAGTTTTTAGCGCCTGAAAAGCGCATTTTGGAATTAAAGGTGCATATGGTTAAATGGTTTAAGTAAAATTATTTATTACAATTATTTTGTCTTTATTATTAAAATTGTTACTTAACCCCTTGATCCACTTTTCCCCCTTTAACTAAGACAACAATTAACCGGCACAGTCACCTGATGCAATGTAATAGAAACGGTGTTGGTTTATATTAAATGCAATTGCAAACTATAGCTATATGCGCAAAACACCTTAAGTCGGCAAATTTTTAGCGTTCGGAGGTCTACAAGTATAGTAAATTTAGAAGAAATTATGTCTCCAAGATTTCAGACGATACCCTATTGTAAATGACCAATAGAAATTCTATTTTTTATTTGATTCTATTATAGAATCCAATAAAAAATAAGTAATTGGTTTGAAATGTGTTTTGGCGCTATGAATCACCAATTCATTCGAGTTGCATTCCTATTCCAATGAAGTCAGCTGCTTTGGCTAAATCCAATAGAAATGCACATGGAATGAATTGGTAATTCATATCGCCAAACCCATTCCAACCATTTAAAACCAATTAATATTTTTTAATTTGGATTATAAAATACCTACCAGTTTATTTTTCATTTAAAAATAATTTTAGATCCCAGAAGGATAAGAGACAAAAAATTTATTGTTAATTACTGAGGAATTTTGTTTCTTTATTTGTATTGATACATATAACTTACTATCAAAAGTAATAAAAAATAAATAAAATTACTCGGTTATAATCATTTTTTTGTCTTTCTTGCAAAGGATGTTTGTATACTATGCCATGCCTATAGGCATGGTCGAAGTCGATATTGTTTATGTCAAATTTTTTATTTTGTCCGCTGTGACAATTATTCTTACGCCATCGTCCCTAAACCTTACACAAATAAACATTTTTTTAAGATATAAGTACATTACTATTACTAGGCACTTAATCGACTAATAAAAAAAACCGTGTTGTTTTTTCTTTATGATGGCGTCTCAACCTCGTTGGTTTTGCGCAGCTACACGAGAGCCCTCTTGCGATATTTGTATTGTATACACTGAAAAAATTAGGGGTAAAATTACACAATAATTAGTAAATTTAAATAGCAATAATATTGGAAATATCTTGGTAAAAATAAATTAATGTTCTATTTTTACAAAGTTTTGTCATTTTATTAATGTTATTTTGCAAACTGTTGTTAATTTTATACAATATTCAGTATTTTTACCTTACCAATTAATAATTTTAATATAAGCATTGTATAAGTACAAATGAATTTTAAAGAACTTTTTATGTTGTAATGTTTAATTAACAAAACTTTATTAAATTTACAAATAAAATGCGTTATTACTACAGTTATTTTTACATAACTAATAGTAAAAATATAATACGCTAGTAAATTTACTATGATAGTATTTGGCAAAAAATAACCCGCGATAGTTATAGTAATTTTACAAAATAATTTTTTCAGTGTATTGGGAATAACCAATTAGCAGATTTTTCGAATCTTATACTGGGAATGCCCAATTGAATTCAATTGGAAATTACCTATAGGTAGCTTAATCCAATCGAAACCGCTAAAAAAACAGTAGAATCCTAATTGGATTTTTCCATAGTTTGTTGGGAATAACCAATTTGCAGATTCCATTTTCGAATCTTATACTGGAAATGCCCAATTGAATTTAATTGGAAATTACCCATGGATAGCTTTATCCAATCGAAACAAATAAAAAACATTAGAATCCTAATTGGACTTTTCCATCATGAAAAATACCAGTAAAAACCAATTTCTGTTTTATATCGCGCCCAATTAAATCCAGTAAGTCCAGACCCATTGAATCAATTGGCATTGATACCAAAAAATACTTCAATTGGTTTCTACAGGAAATAATCGGTCATTTAGAACAGGGTAATCCACTCTTGACAACTAGACATTTTAATATTTCTAGCGCAGAGCTCTTACTTCACAATTCCTTGAATAAAAACTTTGTAAAGGGTGATTTTTTAAGTGTGTCCGAACTTCTGACAAGTGTCGCTGTCAAACAAACTGTCAATTTTCATGCATCTAGAAACTTAGTTTCTCAGTATAGTCTGACAAATCATCATGGAACGTTTAACGCTTGCAAATTGTCGAAATTTACCATCAAAATCATTGTTTTGTGCGCCAAACTTATCGTGCTCTTCGTGAATTTTATGGTATACATACGCCCAATCGAGCGATGTATTCGCCGAATCATCAAGATTTTTCGTAAGAATTTCACGCTGTTAAATATTTAAATAAAGACAAGAACAAAAACAGTGCGTTTCCAAGAAAATATCATCGCTGTTGCCGACAGTGATGAGAAAGACCCAAATTTGTCAATTCGTCGACGTTCGCAGAAAGTTGGGCTTTGTTATTGGACTACGTGGGAAATTTTGCGGAAATATCTTTATTTTCTTTGTGGTAATGTTAAATCTTTAGCTAACAAAACTCGGTAAATAAGACCTAAATTGCTTGATAAAATGGTCGGAAATTGGATTATTAGAATTCGCTTTCTTACAAGTATCCGCGGAGGACATTTGTCCGAAATTATTTTTAAACAATAATGTCATTGAATGTTATTTCATATAAAATAAATATTTTTAAGATATTTAATTTGGTTGTAATTTAATTTGAATTTAAAGTTCGGACACTCTAAAAAATCACCCTTTATAATACCTGTTTATACTATCAGCAAGGTATCTGATAATTGTTAGGGCCTTAATACCAATCTCGAAACACAAATTATTTCTTTGCCGATACAATTCCTCTGTGGCGTTCTCATTCAACTCGCCTGGTTCGTAAGTGACTGAAAGCAGTCGAGCACTGGCTCCGCTCAAGTAGTCCAACAAATCAGCAGATTGGTCCCCAAGACTTTCGCAACAATACTCGTGGAACATGACCAATTCCAATAGAGCAACACAGACAGCTTCATGATAAAGTACGGAATAAGCAACAAAGGTGCTTTCCGGTCTTGGTTCCATTTTTAAGATTAGAGGAAGTACTTTGTATTTCCAAATGTTTATCAGGATACTTTCATGGACTAAAATGTTAATCTAAAGTTATTTGTTGTAGTTTTCCGTTTACAGTGTGTTCCGGAATATAGTTCAGAATAAAACGTCGTTGGTTAAATTTTGTATTATGAACTCTATCTCGGGACACACTATTTGTCATACTCTTTTATAAGTAACCAATGATTCCTTAACATATTCTTCCTTTAACGCAGAAGCTTCCACTAAAGCTTGTTGGTTCAGTTTTTGCACCCTCTGATGCCATTCGAGCCATCTAAAAAACCATTTTAATTATATACCTACTTAAAAAAAATCGTTTTAAATTTAAACTCACTGCTCGTTCCCTATATTTTTCATTCGTTGGGGCTTCATTGTTTCAATGTATAGATCAATTTCTGTAGGCATTAAAACCGAGTCCATTTTTGAAAACTGACTTTCAAAATTATTTTATGAAGTTTGTTTGATCGATATTTTCAAAAAATTCGCGCACGCCTCTGCGTTTGTTTGTATTCCAGTAACCAAGATGACGATGTAAACAAATTACGTTTAGGCGTTTGTAATGACATGCCAAATTATTATTTATTATTTTGTTATTAAAAAACAAAGAAATTAGAAAAAATGAATAACTTTAAATTGTTGGGTCGTGCCGGTGAAGGAGCGCATGGTTTTGTCTACAAAGCGTTAGATCTCAGGACCAATAAGATTGTGGCTATAAAAAAAATCGGTATAAATCCGGATACCGGTATACCGAAAAATACCATGAGAGAAATTTGCGCTCTTAAAGCATTGAAATCAGAACATGTAAGTATAAAAAGATATACAAAAATATTAAACATTTGTTCACCATGTTACACTAATTACAAAACGAAACATTTCCATCAGGGTGAAATATAAAATTTTTAGATTGTAAAATTATTTGAAGTAACTGCGATGGGCTGTGCAGTGGTACTGGTAATGGAATTTTTACCGTGTAATTTAGGGGATTTACTCAAAAGCGACCTAAAACTAGAATTAACTCAAATAAAATCTTACATGAAAATGATGCTAAGTGGAATTGACTATATGCATTCGCACAAAATTATGCATAGGGTATGTACACTCTCTTTTAAAGTATATATATATATATACGCTCTTACTTGACTGACTGTATACAGTCAGTCAAGTAAGAGCGTATACTGGCCAATTTTAAATTAGGTAAGGCTAATTATATAGGGAAGCAAAATTTCCTCGAATCAGTCACTGGATCCTGCAAAAAGAAGTTTTGTACCATGGAAAGCGCATTTTCGAAATAAGACAAACGATTTACGTGAAGCCTATTACAAAAACAACAATTCTTTGATGGCCGCGCGGAGATTTTTCTCGGCTCATTAATAATGGCTTACGACCCTTGTCGAAATATTTCTCTGCGAAAGTTTTAACAAGAGTTTTTAAAGTCTTACTTTCTCTTAAAAAGTCTAAATAATACTTATTAAGTCGGAAAAAGTCTGAATAAGTCTTAGTAAGTCAGACTAATAGCAAGATTTGGGAGTCTTCTGGAAAAGTTAATAAGACTTGATAAGACTCTTAGCAGAGAAATGGTAGGTGGGTACCTATAGCGATTAAAATAAATATCCGGAATTATTCCGGATTCTGGTTATTGCAAATGAAAGCACAATGAAAATTATTTATAAACACTATTTTTGTGTTGTTATAAGGCTTATAAAAACACGGAAGCAATGTTTACAATATAGGTAAACAAATTTTATTTTAATTGAACAGAATAAAACAGTTGGGAGATACGTTTGGTTTGTGTACATACAGATCCCTTGTTGATTAAGTACAGGGTGGTCCACGTAAGGTGACCCATATACTTATCTCAGAAACTACTGGAGTCACAAAAAATTTGTAAGGAACAAATATTCACGAAGTAAAAAATATTTTTAAAATATTATATTTTCATTTATACAGGGTGTTCGGTTTTCCTTGGGACGATACCAACTTTCTTATTTTCAATGGAACACCCTGTATTTTTTTGCATTTTTGGATTCTTCCCTCTCTTTTAGGTATACTTTGTAAATATATTAAATAAGAAAATGTTAATACTTTTTGAGTAAAATTAAGATTTATTAAAATTTCTCTAAATGTAGACACTCGCTAAAAGTTAAAAATATCCAACTAAAAGTTATTATTTTTTATATTATGTAGTATCCATCTCTTTAATAATAAGTAAGCTATAAGTTAATTATTATATTTTTTGGAAAATATCATACAGGGTGTTTTCTATGTCCCGTTGAAAATAGCGATTTTAAAAGTTTAAAATCTTGTTTTTGTTCAATGGAACACCCTATATATTTTTGCATAATTGGATAGAATAAGTAATTACCTTTCATTTTATATATATATGTCCTATACCTAAACCTAACAGAAAAAAAAATATTCGCATTTTTCACAATTAGTAGCTTTTTTCCAATTACCTTAGTTAAATTTTCATTATTCAAAGAAAACACCCTGTATAATATTTTCCAAAAAATAAATTAATTAACTTATAGCTTACTTATTATTAAAGAGATGAATTTTTATTATTATTTTTAACTTTTAGCGAATCGTCACCCTAATATAACAAGGTTGTATGTTAAAAAACCGAAAAATTTGAGTTTATACTTCTACAAGGTTTTATGTAATCCACCTTTGACGTACAACTTGAAAATAACTCTATATATATGTATACATAGAATATACATTGTATAGAATTATTTTTAAGTGGTATGTGAAGCGTAGGCCACTTATAATCCTGTAGAAACATAGACTTAAATTTTTCGTTTTTTTTAACATACAACCTTGTTCAATGTCTACATTTAGAGAAATTTTAATAAATCCTCATTTTACTCAAAAAGTATTAACATTTTCTTAATTAATATATTTACAAAGTATACCTAAAAGAGTGTGTAGAATCCAAAAATGCAAAAAAATATAGGGTGTTCCATTGAAAATAAGAAAGTTGGTATCGTCCCAAGGAAAACCGAACACCCTGTATAAATGAAAATATAATATTTTAAAAATATTTTTTACTTCGTGAATATTTGTTTCTTACAAATTTTTTGTGACTCCAGTAGTTTCTGAGATAAGTATATGGGTCACCTTACGTGGATCACCTAAAAAAAATATTCGCATTTTACAAAATTAATAGCTTTGCGCGTATGGTAATTATTATAGTAATATATATTTATATATAAAAGCATTTTTATTTGTTGTTATTGAAATTTATTTATTTGAATAATGAAAATTTAACTAAGGTAATTTGAAAAAACCTACTAATTGTGAAAAATGCGAATATTTTTTTTTCTGTTAGGTTTAGGTATAGGACATATATATATAAAATGAAAGGTAATTACTTATTCTATCCAATTATGCAAAAATATATAGGGTGTTCCATTGAAGAAAAACAAGATTTTAAACTTTTAAAATCGCTATTTTCAACGGGACATAGAAAACACCCTGTATGATATTTTCCAAAAAATATAATAATTAACTTATAGCTTACTTATTATTAAAGAGATGGATACTACATAATATAAAAAATAATAACTTTTAGTTGATTATTTTTAACTTTTAGCGAGTGTCTACATTTAGAGAAATTTTAATAAATCTTAATTTTACTCAAAAAGTATTAACATTTTCTTAATTAATATATTTACAAAGTATACCTAAAAGAGTGGGTAGAATCCAAAAATGCAAAAAAATACAGGGTGTTCCATTGAAAATAAGAAAGTTGGTATCGTCCCAAGGAAAACCTAACACCCTGTATAAATGAAAATATAATATTTTAAAAATATTTTTTACTTCGTGAATATTTGTTTCTTACAAATTTTTTGTGACTCCAGTAGTTTCTGAGATAAGTATATGGGTCACCTTACGTGGACCACCCTGTACATATATAACGTATAATAACTATAACAATTCTTCACAACTCATAGGCATGATATGGTCGACAGTCGAACTCATACACAGATTCACAATTCACAAGCGGACTGTACACAGCATAGAAAAAGTACACAGATTATAAAACTCATAAAACAAATATGGTTTATCTTCTAGCTGCTTTCATTGGTTCATGTGTTTTATACAGTGTTGCCGGATGAATGTCATAAAAGTTCCTGACCAAAAATTACAAAATAGGTAGGTACTAAAAAAATACCTAGTTATATTTTAAATTTACTAGCGCAAACGCCCTGTTTAAAGAAAATAATTAAATTAATTTAAAATTTTGATATAAGTAAATAAAAATGTAATAGGATATCCTATATAGAATAAAATAATTATGCATTTTTAGTAAACATACAATTTTATTTACTGAAAATATCTTCAGTTAGTATTTTGATGGAAATTTACAAAATATCCGATTTTACCCGCTTCAAAATTTTACCCGCAAACATGACGAAAATACCCGATTTCCGAGTAAAATACCCGCAAACGGCAACACTTGGTAAGTAGTGACAGGAGAGCTGAGCTATCTTGAAAACGCGGGAAGATGCCATCACATGACAGATCAGCTGTGCTCTAATTGCCCAGCTGAGAAAATCGATATTGTGTCCAAAAAGTGTTTGGAACAATGGTTAGATGAATATTTGCGTATAAAAAGAAACTATTAAAATAAAACAGTACAGTGGCAACAATTAAAGCAAGTCAAGTCCATCGTATGTAAAAAATTATAATTATTACACCTCACATATGTTATTATATAGGTAATTATGCAATAAACTTTGCTTATTACCACCCCGGCAAAATGTTAATAAATACCTTTCTTTGTGTTTTATTTTATAATAATTAAATACAACCTCTCTGAATAATTCCGGATATTTATTTTAATCGCTATAGTTAGGTTCCTACCATTTCTCTGCTAAAAGTCTTATTAACTCTTCTAGAAGATTCCCAAATCTTGCTATTTGTCTGACTTACTAGGACTTATTTCCGACTTAATAAGTCTTATTCTGACTTTTTCCGACTTAATAAGTACCTATTATTCAGACGTTTTAAAAGAAAGTAAGACTTTAAAAACTCTTATTTTTTATTTTATTAAAAGTTTTTCAGAGAAAAATTTCCACAAGGGGGGTCGTAAGTAAGTTACGACACATTAATCGTGCTTCATCAGTCAAATTAATTAAGAGTGGGGTGTGATCCCAGGTGAATACATTTGAGGAGGCGGGTAACACAAAACTGAAAAAGAGGAAGAGGCCTCTGTATAACCATCAGAACCATGATACTACTACTAAGCTTATGTAGTATCATAATCAGAACTCATGACCATGATTCAGCTGCGATCCATTTATCAAAATCTACTTTTATTTAACTTCAAAAAGGAAACAGTCTAAATTATACCTTCAAGAAGATGTCGGTTGATAATTATTTACGTAGAAGATGACTGGACGCCTTTTTCAGACATTTGCATCTTTGTTTTAATTAAGGACAATACGCTGGTGTATTTTAAAATTATTTAATATTTTTCTTTTTCCGTCTTCGCTCTTAATGATTATTATAAACTTGTAGGATATTAAACCTTACAACCTTTTAATAAGCGACCAAGGAGCGTTAAAAATAGCGGATTTTGGCTTAGCCAGAATTTATATTAAAGGTCCAAAAAGACAGTACTCACATCAAGTAGCGACGCGATGGTACAGGTCCCCGGAATTGCTTTATGGATCTAGAACATACACTCCTTCAGTGGATATGTGGTCTGTTGGTTGTATATTGGGCGAAATGATCAACAAACAACCAATATTTCCGGTAAAAACAATGTTTGACATGATATGCAAATATAGGTGAAGCTTAACTCATCTTCCATAGGGTGAAACTGATATAGAACAATTAGCTATTGTCCTTGGAACGTTGGGTACGCCAAATGAAGAGATTTGGCCGGGTTTAAACAATCTTCCAGATTACAATAAAATATCATTTTCTACAAGCGAAGGGAAATCCTGGACTTCTGTTATTCCAGATGCTGATGAAGTTACATTGGATCTCATTATAAATTTATTGGTATATGATGGAAATAAACGACTTACAGCAAGTGAGGTAATATTTTAATAATACTTAGGAAAATATTATTCGTAGAGAAAATATTTTATTTTAGGCGCTTGACCATACATTTTTTAAAAAAGATCCTCCACCCTGCGCCCTTGACAAAATGCCTCAAGCCAAGGACATAAAGGATTCCCAGGTGTGGAATTTTGATGGATTTGATGATATAAACATAAAATAAATAAAATGTCTGTATTGGGTTTATATTGATCTGCAATAAAATACTTTTTTAATTGATTATTTTGTTCTACCACAATATTTATTAATTAATTAAAATTATAATCGAAATTCAAGTTCCATTCAATCTGCTCGAAGAGCATTGCATAGATTATAGATTACCATACGGGAATCTATAAACATCACTACAGTTTTCGTATTGTTAATCTTTTACGGAAGGAAGGAAGAAAGGAAGGAAGAAAGGAAGAAAGGCAATCTATAAATCATATATAGAATAATATTTGTTTACAACCATTATAATAATATTTATGTAATCTTACCTTCACTGATAAATCTTCAAACTTTTTAAATTTGACATAAAATCTCGTTTTCCAATTATAATTAGTGGCAAAAGTTTGGTTTTTATTTGAATGCTGTATTTGCAATGTGGCAAATAAAATGCCCATGGGCATATCTGCAGATAACAACCGTAAGGGGCATCAAAACGCACATCGCCTTCACTTCGTGCGGAATCATGCGTGACGGTAAAAACGCTGCGATATGAAATTATGATTAATGGGAATACACGAACGTGATTGGTATATGAGGGCACAAAATGATATATTTTAATTTATTTTCAAATAAAATAGATTTATAAATAAAAATGAAATAAATAGTTTTTATTTATTTTTAAATTTTTTACAAGATTCAAGTTGATCTAATTTAAAAATGCTTTGAAGACATCTTTTTTGTAAAACAAAAATTATATTTAAATCCGGTAAATGTATCCAAAATATATTTTACGGTAGGTTGCAAATACGTTTAACCCAAAAAAGCGAAAACAAGAAATTTTTTCATTTTATGTTTCTAGAAGCCCAGAATTAAAATAGGTTGTAGCTTTGAGGAAAATGGATTTGAATTTTTTTGTATATATTTTCTTGTTCCTCCAAAAAATTGTAGTATATTTTATTTTGGTGAAAAATATTTATTTATTAACACCCCAAATCATAATATTGGATTTTGTTTAAAAAAATCGCTAAAATGAATTCTTAAAAATTTACTCTTAAAAACTGACATAGTAGGCCTTGTATTTTGTACTAACATGGCGTCTTTTGGTCCAAAAATACAGTTTATCAAGATCTACACTTTAAAACAAATCCGGTTAAAATCGCACAATAAATAAAGATTTTACAGGGGTGAGTCGCAAACAAATGGGTCACACTGTAGATATAATAAAAATTGGTATAAAATCTGTATAATTTGGATCTTTTAAATGAAATTTGAAATTTGTCGTTAAACTATGGTAAATAATAAATTGCACCAATTAAATTTATATTATATTTATTGGGGGCCCCATGTACGGCCGAGCAAAAAGTTTTCTTTTTTTCGAAATTATTTATAACTAAAGTTTCTGGCTGTACTCCGTGAGCTCTCTAAAAATGAATTAGTCAAAAATGACTAATTTAATAGTTATTAGTAAAGATGGGATATTTAGGTACTAAAAACTGAAAAATAGGTAACTAAAAAGGTACTAAAAAAAGCACTTTAGGTTAAAAAACCTGCATTTTAGTTAAAAAAACATTAAAAGTTTAAGTTTCGTTTATTTTTATAAAATAAGTAACATATATGTTATAAAATATTTTTTTTTATAAACTGACCAATAGTTAATTAAAGCTATAAGGAGCTGAAAATATTACAGGGAATACCTGATATTTACCAAATTTACTACTAGGGTAACAAACGATAAAGTAAAATAAAATAAAATGTTTTATATAACTTAAAGCAAAAAGGAACTAAAAAATATGGAATACCTAATATTTACCCACTATGTAACTTTACTACTTGAGTAACAAATAAGAATCTTTTCTATATTTTGAGACGTAAGATTATGCCTTTTGTCACAACTGACAAATAAAAAATATGTAAAAAAGTATAAAAAGGTAGTTTAAAGCAAAAACCTCCAAAAAAGTTAAAAAAAGGTGAAAACAAGTTAAAAAATACGTAACAAAAGTATAAAAAGGTAGTTTAAAGCAAAAACCTCCAAAAAAGGTAAAAAAGGTGAAAACAAGTTGGGTTCATATAAAAGAAAATCTTTTAAAACACATTTTGGCATTATTGGTTGAAAAAAGGTAAAATAACTAAAATCCCATCCCTAGTTATTAGTGACTGCTTTTTCACTTGTGCCATGGTTAACCATGGAATAGCATGATATCCCAAAATTTAACAGCCAATTCTTATGAATCCGAAAATGTTGTCAAAAATTAAAAAAGTAGAACAGTTTTTGAGATATAGTCAATTTTCCATTTATTATGGAATTGACTATATCTCAAAAACTGCTCCACTTTCATAATTTTGGACGGTATTTTCGGATTCAGGGGACAATTTTACATAAGAATTGGCTAAATTTTAGGATACCATAATATTCCATGGTTAACCATGGTACAATGGCCGACACGGAATTTTGAACGACTATCATCCTGTTGACATCAAAATCTAAACTTTCTTTATGGACAACTAACCTTACTTTCGGTTATCACTAGTATTGTAATTTTGACAGCGAAAGCAAAAATGCTCAATATTAGCTTTGTTCGCGGAGCTCATCCGTGATCAATCCGCGACAACTGCGCATGCGCACTGGCAATTTTAGCGTTCGCGGTGTAAAAATCGGCAACATTTGACATTTGATCACTCGTTCGCGGAGCCTTTGGGACCAGTTTCGAACTAATTACTGACAAGTCAAAACGATCCGAGGATTTTAGCATGTACTAGCTGTCAGACATGCGTATTGTTCATTATTGTTTAAAGTTTATTTTAGGTTATATGTTCTATATTGTTTTTAATTAAATTGTTAAACGAAAACGTAAGTTGAAATACTTATTTTTTACTTGCATTGTTCATTTCCTTGCTTATTTTATAGATGAGTGATCATCTATCATCCAGTGATGAAGATTTAGAAAATAGTTTAGATTTAATTGAAGTTCCTAAAAATACTGCATATTTTGAAGAAATTGTTTCCATGTTCGATGATCAGCTATTTAGGGAGCATTTTCGAGTTAGCAAAGAGATTGTTGATGATTTAGCAGAGCGATTTAGCAATTCTGAATACTATAATTATCAGGAAGGAGATTCCCCAAAAAGTTTTGTCACAAAACAGCTGACTGATGGTTGCGGTTAATTAGAAACGCGTTCGCGGAGATTTGTTAATTCTTGATCGGTTCCGAATCGCGCATGCGTAGCATGGTTCGTGATTATTTACCCTATACAGATACGGAACTAGTCATGGATGGGCTCCGCGAACAAAGCTATTGTATCTTTGCTATTTACAGATGTATACATTGACAACCAAGTTATGTCGTTCAAAATTCCGTGTCGGCCACTGTACAAGTAAAAAAGCAGCCATTAATAACTATTAAATTAGTTATTTTGGACTAATTCATTTTTAGAGAAAGGCTTTAAACTGCATTGTTTGGAATAGTATATTGACTGAATTACTGTTCTCCTCATAATGGTACTAAAAAATGGCGGATGCGCCGGGATAGTATTCTTTACTTGCGATTTTGGTTTTCATCTGCATTAGGGTGGTCCAAAAAAGTAAAGTTGATTTTACAGATTGTCTCACCCCCCAGTTTTTTTACCTCCAACATCAATAATAAATTTACAAAATTTTAGGCCCCTAGGTGTATTAGAAGGGAGTGCTCATTAGCTCTAAGATTTCTGTTTTTTTATTTAAAAAAAAACATTACGCCATCTTTTCACTGGCCAGATAAAATGTTATGCCCTACATACATAAATTTTACAATTAATAAAGAATAATATTTAACTAAACTTATGTTTCTTACACACTCTTTAATAACTATCAATAATTATAATTTTTCAAACAACAAATAACATTTTAATTTTTGGAACAAGCTCGTTACAGAAAAACAACTCCCCAAAATAAGCTGGTTTTTATTTAGGGTTGGCAGCACTGAAAAGTTAAGTTGACTTATGCTTCGATATATTTGTCATATTGTCATAAAGTCATATTCTTAGTAGTGATTATTGTTTTAACTTATAAAATGTCTGTTCCGAGAACTAGGCAAAAGGATACAGTGTATTTGCTTGGTGTTAGGGAGTTGCAGCCATTATTTGACAGAAATCAGCTACCAACTTTAAGGCAAGTCCTTCTTAGATTAAAATATTTTTTGCTTGAAGAAAGAGATGTTGTTAGTGCATGCAAGAAAACAGTTAAGGAATAGACCTATCCCATAAAACAGACTTTTGGATAGCGCGTGCCTGAAGAAGAGTGGTATCTCTTTCTCTTTTATATAATTAAAAAAAGACGACGTGCCTTTTCACGCACGCGCTATCCAAAAGTCCGTTTTATGGGATAGGTCTATTAGCTACCATATGGCAAAAAGCTGGTGTTTCTACCAGACAAAAATTTCACTGTATTACAAAACTACAGGAAGCCCATAAGCATGGCTTCTTCTTAAAAAAAATAAAGGAAGATTATCTGAATCCCAACGTTCACGTGAATCGTCATTTTTGGATTATCCTCTATTAGAGTCGATGATTTGTTTGATATAGCTCATGCCGATGCATTAACTTTATGTAAGATACCCCATGATCGTAAGTTTTTAATTGACCAACGTGGTGAAAAAAAAATTATAATGTCTGATGTGGATAAACCTTATGCAAAGAAAGAAACTCGCATTCAGAAGCGAATAGAAGACGAAAAGAGAAGATTCAACCGAGATGCTTTAAATGCTTTAAAAAATCCCACCGTTTTAAGTATAAAGGAAATGTCACTAAACCAAACTGGCTCAGCTTCAAACAGTACAGATGACAGTGATGACTCCTATAGGCCCTACATTCCGGATAAAAAACTAGTTCAATCAGCTGATCCCGCACCTGCCCCTAAGAAACTAAAAACTACACTTTACAGTTCAAATGTTATAAGTGCTTTGGATAGGAACAAGGTTTCAGATCGTAAAGCCCTAAGGCTGATAGTACCGATTGCGATGGCACTGGGAAAAGATCCGCTTGAAATGCCATTGTCTCGCAGCACTATTCGCCGGAGACGAAAACATGGAAGGGAGTCAATGGTCAAAGATATCAAGCAAAGTTTTTCTTGTAAAGGTTTAGTTGTCGTTCATTGGGATGGTAAAATTCTTCCTGATTACAACTGCTCAACTAAAGTAGAACGTTTACCAGTACTTATTTCAGCAGATGGAAATGAAAAGTTATTAGGAGTACCTCGACTTTCATCAGGTACTGGTATTATGGCAGCAAATGCAGTCGAAAACTTACTTCGAGATTGGAATCTGGTGGATAAAGTCCAAGCAATGTGTTTTGACACAACATCTGTAAATACTGGAACGAAGAATGGATGCTGCGTTTTGCTTGAGGAAAAAATTGGCAGAGATTTACTTTGGTTAGCCTGCCGTCATCATGTTTTGGAAATAATTCTCAGTAAGGTTTTTAAGTTGTGCATGGGTCCTTCGAGCTCTCCGGATATTCCAATTTTTAATCGATTTAAAATAATTTGAGCAGATATTGATTGTAGCTGCTTCAAGTCCTTAGATCTAGAACCGTCGAAGAATTTTGAGTATTACAAAAACTCCACAATCCCCTTGTTGTTAGCTGCATTAAAACAAAAGTCTCAGCCTCGTGACGACTACTTGGAACTGATCGAGTTGGCTTTGGTCGTTCTTGGTGAACCTCTGGAAAAAATTCACTGGCGCGCACCAGGGCCAGTGCATCATCCCCGTTGGATGGCTAAGTTGATATATGTGTTCAAAATATTTCTTTTTCAAGGGCAGGGTGTGTTACATCTTACGCCAAGAGAAAAATCCCAACTTAAACGATTTGTTCTGTTTGGTGCTCTTGTTTATGTTAAAATCTGGATCAAGGCACCGTGTGCCACTGAAGCTCCTATGTCCGACCTCACTTTTTGGAAAGATTTAAAACGCTACGAGGAGATTGATCATAACATAAGCGAGGTTGCTAGAGATACTCTGAAAAATCATCTTTGGTACTTATCCGATGAACTCGTTGGGCTGAGCTTATTTTCAAATAAATTGGATGCAGAAGAGAAGGCCAAAATTGTAGAAAAAATTGGAAGCAACGAGCCACCTAAACAACGAATGATGTGGGGAAATTCTTCTATTTTAGAGAATGGGTCAACTTTAGCAGATTTTGCAACTCCACCCTTCGAAATGGGAACAAAACTCAAATTATATAAAAGGTTAGTTCTTTTGCATCGGATTTTTAGACATTGCATTTACTATTTTTGATACATGTGATAATATAATATATCACATTGTGATATACTATAGTCTTCACGGCCGGTTTATCAATGTCCAGTTAAAGTTGCAGTTAGTTATCTGGCAGATAATTTCCATGGATACCATTGTTCTCACAATGATCGATATAGAAGATAAAGACCAAGGGGAACTTTACCAAAGATTGATAAACCGGCCCTCAGTTAAGTAATTGATTGGCATGCCTAGAAGGCCACTACTTCAGTTAACTGAAGAAGTATGCACTACCTACTTTGTTTAATTATCAGTTCATTTAATAATAATAATAATAATAATAATAATAATAATAATAATAATAATAATAATAATAATAATAATAATAATAATAATAATAATAATAATAATAATAATAATAATAATAATAATAATAATAATAATAATAATAATAATAATAATAATAATAATAATAATAATAATAATAATAATAATAATAATAATAATAATAATAATAATAATAATAATAATAATAATAATAATAATAATAATATGGACTTTGTCTCCTGTACGCAATAAATTATTTCTTAATAACATTTCTTCAAGGTCGACAGTGTGTTGTAAAACTTCGAGTTGTAAATGACATTGCGGAAAGAGGGGTAAAACTATTTGAAGAGTATAATCAACTTATTACAAAGGATGAGGACGAAAAGCAAGACTTATTGTAGAAGCGAATCGAAAATCCGTTCCGACAGAAACCACAAAAAAAGCAGCAATTTATGCTACTAAGAGTTCTGGACAATGATTTTTATTTGGATATACTGTGTGCTGTTCACAATATATCATGTTTTTTACTTTTATATGTTCTCTAATAAATATCATGTTTCCTTTTTAGTGATAGTTACTTTTTTTTCTTATAATTGTTTTCCCATCTTCAGATTCATTCTATCATAGCTGTGAGCACTCCCTTCTAATTAAGCTAGAGGGTTCAAATTTTGTAAAATAACTTCTTTTACTTTATATAAAAAATTTAGAGGGTGAGAACAAGTGTATCTACAACTTCACTTTTTGAGCCCGTTTCTGGACCACCCTAATCTGCATGTTCTTCATTGTATTAAATAACAATTTTGTCTTTTACTTTCTTAAAATTAAATTGTTTTTTTAAATTATTAAGGCACTGACTGCTCTTGACGCTTGAAGTGTAAGCATATGCTCATCGATCTCTCTTAAGCAGCGTATACGATACAAATGTAGTAATGTGATAACTGGTTAACGCCGTAAAATAATAAAAAATCAATCGATTCTAAACGTGATAACTGTCCCAAGTGCAAAAAAGTGCAAATTGTGTGTGGTACCTCCCCCATTGATTAAATCCTCAAGTGTTGGACCTGGTTAAAAGGTGTGAGAGAGACGACACTTCCACGAAATTTACTGGACTCAAGCTAAGTTATTTTTTCCAATTGCATGTCTTAATGTATATTCGCTAAATGTTTATAAAAGCATTTCACAATGTTTATGTAAGCATTTCACAATGTTGCAAAAAGAAAATACTAAGAATTCTTTTATTGTCTCAAAAACTAAATTAAAAAAGAATAAGAACACTTCCTTAAGTTTAAACAAACAACCTCATTTTCTCATAGCAGACAAATCATAAACAACCATCGAAAAAGGCGTAAGATAAATAAATAAATAAACTAAATATGCAAGAAGACAAAAAACATAAACAAGTTGAGTGTGAATAGCAGTATTGCCAGATGTAAAAGTTGAAATTAACGAATTGGGTAAATAAAATTATCGAATTTTCGGAATTAAGTTACAATAATTGTAATAATTATGTAACAATAATTATTATAATTTAATCATAAAAAAAAAGTAAAAGAGAAAGAAGCGAACTTTTAGAAAATTATAAAATTTGTAAAAGTAAAAAAAATACCCCCACTGGGAACTGCCTTATCGCAGTGATTGCGGCCTTACGCTCGGCACGAGTGATGGGCTCCTCCGCGGGGGGGTGCAGCCTCCCGTGGCCTATACGGGGGATGGTCTACACGGCGGTAGTCGTAGCACGATTGCCGTTGTGTGGATTGTCTTCCGGGGGGGCCGCGGGGGGTTGTATTTCTTTGCGGGGGAGTTTATCATGTGTGCCGATTATCGTACCAATGGGAAAAACCATTACCAAAAGGGTAAGAGTAGCCCAATTAAACACTGGGTCCACGTCACTCGTAGACAACGCAACAAACTACAAGCCACCCTTAAACTAGATCTTAAAGACAAAAAAAATCGGTAGACCATGCTTCACATTTCATGACACGTAGCACAATACATGCACTTCTCACAAAGTAACAAGACCAGTTGGGAGCAACTAAACAACAATAAAAAAAAAAAAAAAAAAAAAACAACCGACACACTTTACCAAGTTCAGGAACTATCCGACACGGATAATGACAATAATGAACAAGACGAAGACCTCGACTAGGAAACTACACCCCTGCAGCGTAATAACAACTCCCCAACTCCAAATAGTAATCCCAAATGTTTGGAGTAATACTAACCGACTGGTCTAGGGGGATTCCGCGTCGTACTTAGTTTTAAGTCGGCGTAATTGTCCCCCAAAAACCAACTCCCTCCCGTCCCTCATCCATACCTCACTGAGCGTATAGCATAGGCCCGGCGAACCCGGGAACGGCTATTATAACTATTCGCCTCTCGCTCTCGAGCCCCAAATAGGGGACAGTACAGAACGCAATGGACATTCGCACCCAGCAAACACGGGTGAAGCCGTGCAGTTGCTGGGGAAGAACAAAAATCGGCGTAAGTAAACATAGGCCTGTACGGGGTTTAAGAGTCAAGAGGAAATGGGGCTGGTTATACGTCTCTTATACTCATACTCATACTCATACTTTCTTAAAATTAAATTGTTTTTAGATACTTTTTTAATTTAATTTTTTTAATAACTAATGCATAACATGGGAACAAGTGCATTTGATTTTTTAATAAGTTGATTTTAAATTCTATGTAATTATTGATAATTATTTAATATCCTGTTATTTATAATGTTTTCTTTTAAGTAAAGTATAAATAAAACATAAAAATAAATTTTTGAGAATTTCTTAAGGAATTTTGGTATTTAATATATTTTTTAATCGAATCGAATAAAGATTTATAGTTTTTTGTTGAGTCGTTTTGAAAAAAATATAACAAAAAAAACAAATTATATCATTTTAACATTTGGGAAAATCGTTTGATACCATTAACATTATCCTTATGTAAACCATCGCATAGAGGGTATATTTCAAGGGCGAAAAAATTTAATCAAATTCCAGGTAACTTATTGTCCGATTTATTATTCTTAGCAGTGGTTATCTTCAATTTTCAATCCCTTGTAATCCGAAAAATCTTAAACTCTTAAAATTACCTCCTCTGTTTCAAAAATAACATGCTTTTACTTATACAAAATACAAAGTACAAAGGCGTAGAAGGGCCAAAAACAATTTTACAAGTTTTATCTAAAACTAACTTTATGATTTTTGCAATTCATATTCAATAATTGTAACTTGAACTTACAGTTGTAACTTGAACATACAATGTAGGTATGATAAAACAATTCATATTTTAAATCTGGCGGTACAAGCGCCTTCGAAAAAACATCAATACAACCGTTTTCATATGCAAATCCCGTGTCTTTTCAATTTGTCTTAGGAATCGATATGCTAAAGATAATTTGGTCCCCTGCTGCTATATTGACGACGTCTTAATCTTCTTCTTCGATATTCTATAGAATGTATATACGCCCTTCCGATCTACCTCAAAAAGTATTTGTTGCAATACCTTTTGACTAACGACAAGTCCATGCTGAATACACCTTAAATGCATCCACCTGTATCCATGTTATTGGGCAGAAGTAGTGATAAGAGACAGCATAAAAGCATAAACATTCTCTAAATTACTAAATTTCCTTCTTACAAACCGAGTCTGCACAGGTGCCGTACGTTTTAAGGATTGTAAGTTCAAGTTATAATTGTAGGTTTAAGTTACAATTATAGAATAGAAATTGCAAAAATCAAAGTTAGTTTGAGCTAAAACTTGTAAAATTTTATTGGTCCTTCTACGCCTTCGAAATAAAGCGACCTCTAAGTATTTTTTTAAAAATATAAACAAAATATGGTTACTTTTTTAGTAAAACCATACGTAATTCCAAAGCGTTTAAAAAAAATAATACGTGAGCTAATGCAGGACACCCTATAGTGATTAGGTTATTTTAGGGTATCATTATTAAATTTTGTAGTAATTAATGTATTTTATTTTTTTCAATGAATATCAATATTTTTTTTAATGAAAATCAATATTTGCTTCGATAGTATATCCTAAGCCTCGATATTACAAAATTTGTATGGGACAAATCCTAGTAGGTAATTTAAATGAATTAAACTTACGTACCTACATATAAAAATAGTTTTTATTTCAAGTTTTATACAATAATAATACAATTTGAGGGACATGTATAAAAGTTATCTATACTTAATTCTAATCAGGCACTTTTATTGTTGAGTATTGATACGTGGGCATTTTTTCTTCCAAAAACAAAATATGCCAAAAAAGGGAAAACATGCATTAACCAAAGCGATGTTTTATGGACAGTGTTGTGATACAATCTCCATATTTTGTATTCCAAAGTGGTTATAACGTATAAAACGAAATTCATATATCTCTTTTGTCCTGGAGTTAATTTAAGGTATTCTTTTTTAGTATCCATTTCTGCGACGTTATTGTTGAATAAAGTAATATAAAAAATGTCAAAAAATACTTTAGCGCTGATAAAAGGATTGAAACACCATAAACCTTCCAGGATGTACATGGACATTTCTATAAAGTTGGGATCTCTTTTTTCTATTTCTGGTAGAAAAACTTTTTCTATTAATAAATTACATATTTCTGTAGTTTCCTCCACTGATTCTCGGCAAATGTTAAACCTAAAAAAAAAAAATAATTAGTGGATGGGATCATCTAAACAGGAGCTGGCACCAGCGCATTTATACAATTCACACGACGAAATAAAAAAAATCTTCAGACCCGTATACTTTTGTTTTTAGGGGGACATATTTACACACTAATTTCATCACTGTAACTTCAACCCTGGCAAAAACAATACTGACTTTTTCCTATTTCCAAAAATAAAGAGAACCTTAAAGGGCCGTCGTTTTGCAAGCATAGATGACATTAAAAGCGCATCGCTGAAAGAACTAAAGGCTATCCCAAAGATCGAGTTTTAAAAGTGTTTCGAGTATTGGAAGAAGAGCTGGCACATGTTCATAATATCCAATGGGGACTATTTTGAAGGCGACAACATTAATGTAGACGAATAAATAAATATTTAAACATTCAATTTTCTTAGTTTCTTTAAGAAACTTTCTTGACCCATCACTGGTAATATTCATAAGAATATAAGAAAAAATTGAACCTACACCTCGCCAAAGTTTTTTGTTTCGAATGCGTTCCACCAACTTCAAATACCGACAGACAGCTGTTTCGACCTTTATTGGGTCTCATCAGTGTCGGGCAACTTGGTGTAGTGGAACACAATCAAAACAAATTACTCCCTCAGCTTATATGCTCGGTTGTTTAGTCAACAGAGGCGAGATGTAAGAACATCAGGTGATCCACACCGTCAAACGACGTGGCCTTTGCTGCAATCGGTACATACTATGCAACCGGTTGCATAGTATGTACCGATTGCAGCAAAGGCCACGTCGTTTGACGGTGTGGATCACCTGATGTTCTTACATCTCGCCTCTGTTGACTAAACAACCGAGCATATAAGCTGAGGGAGTAATTTGTTTTGATTGTGTTCCACTACACCAAGTTGCCCGACACTGATGAGACCCAATAAAGGTCGAAACAGCTGTCTGTCGGTATTTGAAGTTGGTGGAACGCATTCGAAACAAAAAACTTTGGCGAGGTGTAGGTTCAAATAAATATTTGTTTCAAAAAACGAAAATTCCCGATATTTTCTGAACACACCTCGTATATTGCGGTGAGAGTGGAAATTATTGAATTGTATTTTATAAACAATCAATGTGCAAGAGTAATGGCAACTTTGTTTAAATAGAGGCATGCAAATAGACACGTGTATCATTGTTACATCGTGGAATTAGTAGCAAAATTCCGATTAACTGGTTAAGTGTCAAGTAAAAAAGAAGATATTGAAAATCCGATGAGAAATGAGGCAGTAGTTTGTAGCTGGGTGAAATTACTTTGGATCCTACATTAAGTACCAGAAAACTTTCTGATGTAACGGGAGTTTCGCGGGCCACCGTACAGAGAATTCTGAAACATAATAAATGGCACCCATATAAAATTTAACTTTTTCAAGAATTGCATGAAGATGATAATGGCCGCCGTTTACAACTTTGAGAAACAATGTCCGAAATAATTATACCTTTTTAATTTTGGCTTTTTAGACGAATGTTTATTTTTTCTCAATGGCATTGTCAATCGTCATAATTGTCCTCAAGGATATTTAAATTTAAATGGAGTTACTAATTTAGACTTGTTGGAGAATGCCGTCAACCCAGCGCTGATTAAAATTATGGAAAACGACCAGCGCACAGAGTGGTATTTAAGCAATCCAGCTGGCCAAAACGCTAACTACAGAAAATACAAAAAAAAACACTTCTAATAGAATCTCCGATAATTAAAGCCCACGATAGATGCCCATCCTCAGATGACTTTACCCCGACATGTCTCGCAGAGATATCAGTTCGTCTTACTAAGTACATGTACACAGTATAAGATTTTTTCCCCGTGTAAATTTTTGGTGTAGGGGTAAAAATATTAGAGTTGATTTGTAAGTGTAAAAGTTACACTACAACCCTAATAACACAAGTATATACTAGAAACATGCCAGAAACATATGCATGCGACAATAGAAACATCCCAGGAATGACCCTATTTTCCCACAGATATACCAGAAATGTTTCTGGCAATGACCATGTCGCCCTTTTTAACGTCCCTCGGCCATCCTTTTGGGATGTTTTGAGATCATCTTAGAATGTTGTAGGTATGTCTTTAAGACATTTTATATTTACTTTCAGAACATAACAGAAATGTTTCATACAAAACATTTATGAAATTTTTATAGGTTTTTTCCTTAAATAAAAAACATTAAATACTTTTATCATTTAATTAACATAAAACCATTAACATAACTGAAAATACGCATAAATAAAAATAAATAGATAAAAATTTACAAAACTCTTCATCGATGAATCCGCAAAAACTCGTTTGAGACATTTTTGACAAAATCGATTTTTTTTGCATAATTAAGTACTTACCTCATATCTACCCATACAACGAAGACTATTGTAACTCAGTTTTGATTGTAGACTAGAGTAACTCAACTTAGTTTTCGCCTGTAGGAATGTGGATTATTACACTTACTATACAGGGAAGTTGTTCACTGGTTGCCTATCGTTTCATGTCTGAGTTACTGTAATCTTCCACCAAATAGAGCTTGAAAAAATCTGTTGATGCCATATAGTAAGTCAAAACCCACGTTTTTTGAGTTACTATAGTCTTCGTTGCATGGGTCGATATAATAATGCACATGATTGTAAAACCTCTTATCTCCCAAGATAATCTCAAGACCCATAAAAACAAATTAATTTGTTCTATAGGTATATTTAAAAAAAGCCAGATATGAGAGCTTTTAATGTTTTTTTCGTCTCCTGTAAAACTACAGTTTTTTTCATACGAGGTTTTGCGGATTCGACGAGTTATTACCTAAAACAGCTTTAGAAATCTTGGATTGGCTAAAATCTTTTTTGCCCTTTTTCCCAATAAAGCCTTTATTATAAAGGAAAACTGTTGTGCGACCTGGTCTGAAATAAAATCATACAGGTTATTGCCACCAATACCCACAAAAAATAAAACCTTAAAAAAGAAACTAATATAGAATTTAATTATAATAATATTTATAATGTTTTCTTACCAAATCATCATAATTTACTTACCAAAAAAGACGCCTCAGGCCACCCACACAAAACAATAACTTAAAGTGTACAACTTAAAATTTAATTTAAGTCTTAAATTACTGTGATCACATTATAAAACGAGAAGAAAATTCTCGACACAGAACGTTCTCGATTTTCACGAAATGTTATTCTTGGCAATAAAAGCCGCGAACCTACAGAGATGCCGTTGGTTACAAAACAAAATTTCCCAGGTAACAATCAATTAAAAAATATCTAGTATGACGACATTGTTCGCGGTCAATTTAAAAATTACAAAGTTATTGATATTATAAGAATTTGGTGGTTTTGCTAAATTGATAGGTTATTTTTTTTTAATAAAGTGTGTTATGTGTTTTGATCATATATCTATAGGTATATAGTTTTGATATAAATTTATTTAATATTTGTAACAAGTTGGTTACAAAACAAAACAAAATTCCCCAGGTAAAAATCACTTAAAAAGTAACTAGTACGAGGTCATTTTTCGCGGTCAATTTAAAAATTACAAAGTATAATAATTTGGTGTTTTGCTAAAAATTGATTGGTTATTTTTTTAATAGAGTGTGTTATGTGTTTTGATATAAATTTATTTTATATTTGTACCAATATCAGCTATTTAAAAGGTTTATGCAACATCTTGGCGTTTTTGCTAAATTGATAGGTTATTTTTTTTAATAAAGTGTATGTGTTTTAATATAAATTTATTTAATATTTGTAACAAGTTGGTTACAAAACAAAACAAAATTCCCCAGGTAACAATCACTTAAAAAGTAACTAGTATGACGTCATTGTTCGCGTTCAATTTAAAAATTACAAAGTATAATAATTTGGTGTTTTGCTAAAAATTGATTGGTTATTTTTTTAATAGTGTGTTATGTGTTTTGATATAAATTTATTTTATATTTGTACCAATATCAGCTATTTAAAATGTTTATGCAACATCTTGGGGAAATCACACCAGAAATGTTACTGAGGAAACATCGCAGGGATATACGATTTAAGTCCGAAACATTGGGGCATAAATAGTACATAAATTGTATGTTTCTGGCATGTATTGTGTTATCTGGGAAAATACACTAGGTAGCATTTAGTGCTTATTAACTTTATTAAACACATTTAAAGAATATGAACATTATTCATTGGTAAATTCACACTATTTATTATTATAATAAATCAAAAGGGTAGAAAAACTTAATGCGAGTGTTTATTACCCCTTAATGTGTTAAATAGTGACTACAGTGCATTTCTTTGTCTGTTTTGATGTTAATAAGAGCTCTTTTTTCTTTACACTACTAGTGCACATTGTATCACAATTAAAGTTAAATTACACCAATAGTGGCAAAATAGACTGAAAAAACCGAAATGCGTTTTAAAATGTTTGGTTGTTACCTATCTACCTACGCAGTGCATATCCGGAGATACCGCCTTGTGGAAGTGTGGCATTTTTGTTCAGTTAGATTTTAATTACGGTAAATCCATAAGGGGACATTCTTATTTTTTGGTAAGTTTTATACTTCCTTTTTCTTTAAGCCTTAATACTCAATAAATACCAATTATTGGTTAAAAGAAAGTCCATACCCGACCTATATTATATATCAATAATTTACGGCAGTAGGTCGGGTACTTGTAACATTAATAATATAAATACATACGTAATGGTTGGAAAATTTTTACACTTGTGGTAAATCCCCGACATACAGCCTCTCTACCAACGGGATCACAAAATGGATTACTGATGAATTCTCAAGATAATTCATTGCTTACAAGTTGACAGCCAGTAAAACATTGCATTGATCTAAAACTTTTACGTTTTAAGGAACCATTTTGCTTAGCCAGCCATACGACTCAAATATAAAATTATATTTTAAAAGGCACCGATTTTGATAATTGTCATAGATTTTTGTTCCAAATAAATGTTTCTCTTTATTTACCTTTTCGTTTTATTCACTACCACCAATAGGTTTTACTCAAATAATAGTCATTTACACTAGAAGTTTGCACTAAAAGAGTAAAAGTACCTTTTTAAAATTAGAACTTTTCCAAAGTAGTGTTAATTTACACTGAACAAAAGTGGGATTTTAACCAGGAAGTGTAGAAGTAGGTACCTACACGATTTTAGGTAAATTAACACTTTTTAATACAGTATAAAATTACTTTATCCTCAGTGCTATAGTTTTAAATCATACTTGCTTACTTGGGGAAAATTACACTACAAATTAACTCTAATTGTAGTGTTATAAAACAACACTATTTAGGGTGGACCTGTGTGAACTCTAATTAGTGTTGCTTAGAGTTGATTTTTTTTGCTGTGTATGTGATCCCAGTGACAAAGCTATTTTCAGAACCTTTTTTTGTTGCCTCTTATTGTGACAAGTGTGGTTTTAGTGATTAGTAAGGATGAACCAGGTTTTTACCATTACGTTGATATTAATTTTTATATTTATTAAGTTTAATAATAGTTTTATTGGCATTATTTAAAAACTAATTTTTAGGTATTTAATTTTAAGCATTTTTAACATATGCGAATAGTTCCGATGATAAATTCATTTTAATTTAATAGCACCATTATTCTGCTTCTCAAATTAATTAATAACTAGTCCCATCTTGTCGCTGTTTAAAAAATATTCCACTTTTCGTATGTCAGGAAACAAAAGTAATAAAATTTGCTGTTCAGATCTATGGTATTTTATTAAAAAGTTTAGTTTATTATTATAGATTGGTTATTGTAATTTGTGAATATGTGTGGATTTAAATTTATAACTTTATAAATATATATATTTATATTCATATGTATATATACAGTGTGTCCCCGGATAGGTGAAACGACTCCTAGGAGCTGCAAATTCAAAAAAAAATTATATTCAATTTTTATTTTCGGGGGTTCAGCCCTGCTTGATAAAAGATTAATTTTCAACATAATTTCAATTTTGAAAAATCGAGTATGCATTGAAAATATTAAAAAAACTTTTTTTGTGTAGTAAAGTGCCTTTCAAATGGCATGCACGATAAAATAATATTAAAAGAAATTGTTTATAATTAATATTTAGGCCCTTATACCAAATTTAAAAATTCTTATCCAACTTTTATCCAACAATTATTGTAATCTCGAATATCTCGGAAACGGTTTATTTTATCGAAGTTTACCCTGATAGCAAAATTTGATTCTAAGAATCTTCTAAGAAGATACGACTCGGAATAATGGAATATTCTTAGAACCTTCCCTTATTGCTAAGAATGTTCTTAGGGACTTTTAAAACATTCAATAGATACCCTTTTAATGATGCAAGTAGATTCTTAGAAGCTTCTTAAAACCTTCCTAAAAAGCAATCTAAGAACATTTTAAGAATACGTTTTTGGAATGTACATTAGAACATATTAGAACGTGGGTATCTGACATATTTGGAAATATTCTCAAAAGCTTCCTAGAAGCTCCATAAGAAACCTTCTAAGAACGTTCTTAGAAGGTTTCTTATGGAGCTTCTAGAAAGCTTTTGAGAATATTTCCAAATATGTCAGATACCCACGTTCTAAAATATTGGATTCTACATTCGTAAAATTCTTCAGGAGGCGACAAATACGCCTCACTGTCATAATATGACAGTGAAATGTATTTTTCGTCCCCTTAAAAAAATTTGCGACATATTAATATACATTTATTTAAAAATATTAAATAAACAATTTGACCTCTGAACCATAAGTTGTATGACATTATTTCATAAAAAGTAAAATTGGAAAATTTTGTGGGATAAGTCAGATTAGATTGAAGTTGAAGATAGTAGGATTATTATACATAAAAATGTTAATTCAGAAATAAAAAATCGGTATACAAATTAATAAATATTTATTTTTAACATAAAATAAAATACCTATATATAGTAAAAGTATTTTTGTTATCTAATATTGTTTTAATTTGATAAATAACTATAAAAAATATTTTGGGTTGTTTTTTACTTAGTATTTAATACTAATTACTTTCTCAACATTCTAAGCATATGTTTAGAGTGGATTAATTTTTACCACTAAACTTTGCACCTTCTAAGAACCTGCCTAGAGGCCAGTGAGAATATTCTTAGGATTATGCTATATTTCTTTTAAGCATGTTCTTTAGAAGAAATATAGGATGATCCTAAGAATATTCTCACTGGAAGGTTTAAAAAACATTCTTAGAACATGACTAGAAGTAATTAGAGTTGATTTGTAAGAATATTCTCACTGGAAGGTTTAAAAAACATTCTTAGAATAAACTGTGCTATCAGGGTATGAGGTATACCTTTTTAATAGTAGCCGAACTGAGTAATCGAAAAATTACATCAAATGGTATAAAAACCTAATCTCAAAATTTATATGGGACAATAAGCTTAAGCAAACCCTGTTTCTAAGACACTGCGTTCACTCAAACAATTGTAATTATGTGTGAATATGTGTTTTGGTAGTAACTGCTCGCAAAATATCACCTTTTTAAGTCTATCATAGTAGAGGTTATATTAAAAAAACTGATATGATAAGTAACACTTTATCACCCTGCAGTAGCGTAACTAGGGGGGGCGGGGGGGGGCGGTCCGCCCCGGGCGGCACTTCTTGGGGCGGCAAAAATCGTGAGAGAAAATGCAAAAAAAAATATTTGATAATTATAATTATAATTAAATATTCTCTTTCGAAATAATATAATTCAAATTCCAATAGATTTGAGATTTTTACAATTACTCAGGTTTAAGTTTTTTTGTAGGTACTTTTACATAAGGTTGATAATTTATCTCTTTATTTTTTTCATATAAATTATGTTAAAGCACATTTTATTTGTTGTTTCTCTTTACCTAGGTCTAAGAATTTTTGTTTGTTTTTAATTCTTAAAATATTACAATTTAATGTTATATATATATGTTATATATATATATATATATATATATATATATATATATATATATATATATATATATGTTATATATATAATTATATATTTTTAATTTTGCGTACGGTCCTCAAAACTGACTCCTAACCTAACCTCTCTTCCCCCCCAAAAAAAAAACATGAGGGCGACAGCCACTGCTGCCACGGGCGGCACTTTTTCTAGTTACGCCGCTGTCACCCTGTATCTTTTAAAGATACCGAATTAGGAAAAATATTTATTTAGATTTTAGTCTTATTTTGACTTGCTTAATCTAATCCTAAATTTATGCCACTAAGTTTAGGGACACCTTGTATATGGAATATAGGACAAAGTATTATATAAAAAGTTGTTTAGAATCATATTTTAGTTCCATATACCAAATTTCAAGATTATTGGCCAACTTTGATTTTTATTTTTTTTACTACCTGGATTTTTACAATATTGATGCCCATTGGCACTTCAAATATTTATTGAAAGGGGAAGGTGACCTCAAAAACTCTGTACTTTTACATATATTTTGGCTAGCTAGATAGCTCAAATACTACTCTGTGCAGCGTTACCATGAAGAAAATCCGATATTTCATTAACTGTACAACAGTTTTTGGATGAAACCTTTCCTCAGGAAAGTTTCCTGGTAGACGAATTGGAAGAAGGGTGCTATCGAATGGCCCGCGAGATCACCAGATTTATCTCACCTTGATTTCTTTTTGTGAGGACATCTGAAATCCAAAATTTATACCACCCAGCCAGAATCCTTAGAAGATTAACGGAACCGCGCTAAGGGGTTAAAGTTACAGTGATTAAATTAATGAGTAAACATGTCCCTCTGAAAACAAAAGTGTACGGGTCTGAAGATTATTTTTTATACATACAACATACAAAGTTGTAAGTAAACCTTCCTGTACTGTTTTTGATGGGCCACCCTGTATATTTGTAATAAGTTTCTCTTTCAATACCAATTAATTTATTCCGTAAAAAAAAAGTTAAAAATTCAACCTTAAAACGAAATTAAAGACAAAAAATAAACTGCAAGTGTTGCTGTTCTTGGACAGTTGCCAGGTTTTAAAATATTTGAAGTTTACCTATCTTCTATCCCCATAAGGTAGCCTATTACTCTCCATACATGTATTAAGGCTTCCCATTCCTCCGGTTTCGTATGAAATATTCCAATTTTTTCCTTTTGTGTTAAAGCCATTCCTATGAAACCAAATTGTGTTAAAGCCATGTCTTTTTGTGTTATATTTCCCAATCCTACGGTACATGCCCTTTTGCTAGCCGAACTGTGTTTTGATCTAACTTCATTTATGGAGTCCCACATTCTAAAATAAATATCAATTTTTAGCAGCCTGTGTTGTGTTCTTTTATTTTTAAAAGGGAATTTTATAATGTATACCTATATATTTTTCTTTTTTTTTCAAGAAGCTGTATAACCCATTTTAAAATATTACCAGAGATATGCTAATTCTAAGTCATTTACCGGGTTGAGGGGTTTTAAACTTCTTTGCGGATACGTTACGTGACGTCCAATTAAAAGAAGGGATTTATAATTTTGTTGTTATAACTTGTCCAAAACCGATTATTATTATCATTTTGGACCACCAGATATGACAACTGTTTCTAGTACCAAATATTCAATACTTACTTAGTTCCTGGTTTAAACTCGTCTTCATACCAAATGCACATGTGAAATATGGTTTCCATGTATCTTCTGTATGCTGTCATGTTTGAACTTGATTGTTTTGTAAATCTTAAAATGCTGTTTATGGTAGGTATGGCCAAAACTGCTATGAGTCCAAAAAGTTTGCTAATAAACATTGCAAAATAATGCTTGTGGTAAAATTGTTGTCCTCTGAAAAATAATTATAAAAGTCTACAAAATTTTTAAACATAAGTATATTGTTCCAAAGTTTTAGACTTAGATCCGAAATCGACCTTAGAATTCTTTCATTACATCAGGGTTTCGAGAAATTTTACTATTTTACTTTTTTCTCGAAGCAGAGAAACGATATCCTTTCTCCGCTTCGAGAAAAAAGTTATGTAATATTATCTCAAATAGTAAACTTTCTTGAAACCCTGATGTAATGAAAGAATTCTAAGGCCAATTTCGGATCTAATTAGACTTAAGTCTTTATATTATTACGAGTTTTGTGGATTATTACCTCAAAACTTGTATGAAACCCTGAAGAAAGAATTCTAAGGTCGAATTTGGACTTAGAAAAATTGAGGCATAAAATTAAATAAATAAATATTATTATTATATAATTGTTTATAGGTACTTTGATTTAATAAATTAAAATTTTTCTGAATACCCTCCTGTTCCAACGAGGCCGTGAACTCATACGAATTGTTTCTGCCCGCACCTTTCCGCTATGCTTTGTCTGCGGCACAGTCTGCGCATATTGTTGCTCTGTGCTCTGCGCCGCATACTGAGTCTGCTTTGCGTGTAATTATCATAGGTTATATTAATAGCAAATTAGAAATAAATATTAGCGTTACAATGATTTCAAATGACTTGCCTTTATTTCAAAATAGAAATCTTTTAAAAGATGTTAAAGAACGGTAAATGTCTAAAACCAGACCAGATTTTAAAATTTGCCTGTACATAAAAAGCTATATATATTTATTAAATTAGAAAAAATTTGTAAATGCAAAAAAATGATAGGTACCCTAAAAAATTTTAGTTTTTTGCTCAAAATAGACTTTGGGCGTGACACCCAGAATTTTTTTGCCAGCAGTTTTTTCCGTATAAGGGCCCCTACCAGATTTTTGATACGGGGCCCCCTCGAGGCTAGCTACGCCACTGCTATTGACAATATAGCCAAACCCACTAGTCGTTCTTGGCACATACCTTCTTGATCTTAAATATTTTATTATTAATTTTAATTTTCAAAAACTCTTTTCCCGGCGTAATAATTATTGTTTTAAACAAATACAGGCAACTTCAAATACACATTTAGCAACATTGGACTGAATGATAATAGATGACGATACCTACTAAAGATATTATCTCTGGCAATGACCAGATATTATTTTGTCACGCTGTGATAAAATGTACAATAATTTCGTTAAGACGCCTTGATGCGCGCGGGGCCTATAAAACGCGGGGCCGAGTGCAACCGCACCGTTTGCACGTGCCTTACGCCGGCACTTCTAGTCGTGTTCTAAGAATGTTTTTTAAACCTTCCAGTGAGAATATTCTTAGGACAGGGCAATATGTAGCTTTTTAATGAAACGAATATGAAAAAAATTAGCGGATTTTTTATCGCTTATCCGTTTGCAAATCATGATGTAAACTATCACACTCAAAGTTTTGGCGCGCGAACACGTTTTTATGTAGTCTATAGTCATAAGTTATGACTCAAAACAATTGCTCCTTTAGTGCTTTTCGTAACATTTTTGTAAATACAGGCAAACAGTCAATTACTTATAATCTAATATTAAAACTAGTTTTTGTCCCAGATTTTTATTGGTACATTGGAGTGTTGTGGAATATTTTCCGGTGTTTCCGAAATAATGTTTCGTGCTTTTCTTTGGACAAAACATTGTTTTATTATTGATGATTTTGTATGAAAAACAGACAAATAATACGACTTTTGATGCACTTTTTTTCAGTTTGCGGTAAGTATTAAAAATACAAACAAAACATAGATCAATTTATATTTTACTTGAGTAAAATATATATAATTTATGTTATGTTCGTATTATTCAAAATGTATAAAATATAAAGTAGGTATATAAAAACACTTTCATTCACAATTCTATTCTACTATCTACGTTTTTATAGTTTTGCATACGAATTAATAATTTCTTAGACTTAGACTAAAATGTATATGGTTATGTTCGTATTATTCAAAATTTACAGGGTGATTCAGACTTGTGGTGACAAAAGCTCAAGGGAAATTCCTCTCATCAAAATATGAAAAAAAGTTCCTATAAACACGTGTCCGAAAATGCTTCATTATCGAGATACAGGGTTTTTCGTTTAAAAAAAATTAGTTTTTTATTTATAGCTTAAAAACGCTTTGGCCGATTTTATTAAAAATTTATATGGTTTATTAAATTATTAAATGATTCAAGGATAATAAAAAATCACGTTAAGTTCCTCTAGCTTAAAAATTTACCATGAGTTTTAAAGTGTGAATTTTTTTTAGAAATATTGAGGGCCCCCACCAAATGTCGGCCCCAGGGCCTCAAAACTCTTAATCCGGCCCTGTCCATAATCTACGTATAAAGGTACCTATACTTTGTATTAAATACTAAGTAAAAAACACAACCCAAAATATTTTTTTATACTTATTTGTCAAATTAAAACAATATTCGATAACAAAAATATTTTTACTATAGGTATCTAAATTATCCGGCTTTTACATAAAATCTTCTATCCAACTTATAAATACAATGAAAAATGTTTATTTATGAAGAACTATTTGGTTTTTTCTTTTATGAAGGGTTATTTTATAAGGAAATATTTTGTTTCTTTATATTTTATTTTATGTTAAAAATAAATATTTATTAATTTGTATACCGATTTTTTATTTCTGAATTAACATTTTTATGTATAATAATCCTAACTATCTTCAACTTCAATCTAATCTGTATGGAACGCCGTTTTAGTTTTTATTATCATAATACTTCATATATATGAAGTATTATATGAGTTATATAACATTTAAATTCAAATTAATTTTAATGGTACATGCGATAATGGAAATCAACCAATTTTCGTTAAGGGAAATGTAATTTTTGTTTTAAACTAAAATATGAATTCCCATTAATAAAATAAAGAAAGATATTTACTCATTATCTGAAATAACTGTTCAATTTCCGTTAACGGAAATCAATTTCCGTTAACGGAAATCAATTTTCGTTAACGGAAATTGAATTAGATTTATCGAAAACCAAATAAATGCAAAACTAAGTTATTTGTCGTTTAGTTTCAATTTTCTTGGTATATGTATTTTTATTCTACTTTAATTTCAATGTTACATGAATTTATTTGATACACAAGGGTCTGTGCATTAATTTTCATTATCGGAACTAGCGCCATCTAGTGATACCCCGGTGAACTAGCGGTAGTTCATATGCGCCAAGATTTTTAAGTAGTTCTGCAAGGTTAAAAATTTACCAACCCTCATTCATAATCTGTGCCCTCATTTTCGTTCGATTTTTTCTTTCGTGTGTAGTCAATTATTGAAATTATTGAATTAAAAATTGATTTTCCATAGATTAACTATTGTAATATTAATCGCAATTAGCGTAGTCACTTTAATTTTTAATAATATAGTAGGTAGGGACTCTTAAAAATTCGTATAAAAAACCAGATTTTTACCAAAAAACGCTATATTCCGTATTTGCAATCAACAAACTAAAAAAACCGTAATTTTCTGGGAAAACCGTATACATGGCAACCCTGGGCCATGAACTACCAGCAACAAATCACAACAAAATTTGTTGTGCCACCTGAGGATTAGATTGTTCTATCTCCCAAAATTCAAAATGGAACAAATAGCAATTTAAAGTTTAATTTATTTACAAATGAAATTTTAAAAAGCTGTTTATCCGTGTTTAGGTTTTGGGAGATTCTATCTTTCAAAAATCTGACACGGAAAAACAGCTTTTTAAAATTTCATTTGTATATAAATTAAACTTTAAACTGCTATTTGTTCCTCTTTAAATTTTGGGAGATAGAACAATCTAATTCTCAGGTGGCGAAATGTCATTCATGGATGTTGACGCAGATGAACTACCTCTCTTTACAGTAGAGCTACTGCTGGTTCACTTTTGCATCGCTAGATGGCGTGAGTTCCGATAATGAAAATTAATAATTTTCATTATCCGATAATGAAAATTGGCACACAGACCCTTACCCAAACAGCACACAACATCCTTAAGACGTCTTGTTTATGTCTTAATAAGGTCTGAACGTCTTAAGACCTAAAAACGACGTCTTAAAGACATATTTGAGAAGACGTCTTAAAACAAGCAATTTAGTAACGTCTTAAAGACGTCTTTTTAAAGTCTGTTTCGGGATATAAACTATCTAGGATCTACCTGCTGTACTGCAATTTGTACCCGCGGCGTTTACTTTATTAAGATAACCTGTATAAATTAATTAATTACTTTCTTTAACTTTTGAATACATTTAAAGACTTAGTAAGGACGTCTTAAAGGCGTATTTTTGAAGACGTCTTAAAGATATGCAATTTGTGATATCCTAAAGACGTCCATGAAAGCCAAGTTTGGGACATTTTAACCTAACTGCCTATTGAGAAACTCAAAAAAATTTACACCCATACAAAACTATCTGTTTATGTGAAGTGTAAGAATTTGCTCTATATATACTAAATACTTATGTTTAACAGTTTAGATAGGTACTTTTATATCAACAATCTCTCTATTTTAATATTATTTGATACCAATGGTAATTTTAAATTTAGCGCGCTTCTATTATTTCCCTCTTGTGGAATTTGCCTTAAATACAAAACTGGACAACGTTGTCAGATCGACTAATTTTTAGCAGATCTACAACAAATTAAATATAACAACAAAATGTATTCAATAAAATATTAAAACTTACAGCATTTGTAATCAGGGCCTGTATAGGCAATTTTTTGTAGGATTTAATATTAAATCCAAACACGATAGAAATAAAGAAACAAATAAAACATCTGACCAAACCACCATGCGCAATGTGCAAAGAGAACTCCGGCAACGCTGTTGTCAAAGCGGAATTGGCATATGATTAGCCATTTTGTTTGTTTTTTTTACAAACATTTTTGTTATCTGATACTGCTTGACTTTGCATTTTATTTAAACTTTTTCGGTGTCTAGCTATTTACAAATAAAACT